TTATCATTTTCTAAAGAATTGCTTAATGCTTTTCTATAGAATCAATTGCAATATCGGTATTGCCCTTTAATAAGCCCATATTTCAACGTCAAATGTTCTAAGGTTTACTTAGTGATCATTTTGTATTCTTGATATGCATCTGCAGCTAGAATACCGAGGTCCGAATATAACGTTACCAGCGATCATACGAAGTTAAGGTTCTTTCTCTAATCTCTTGACATATCGTGTACGTAGCCTATCAAGAAGGGTTCGAGAAAGTGGTGAGTCTATCTTTTGACTCTTCCAGCTTGCTATCAATAAACTGAACATTCACTTCTGCTAGGTTGAGGGAGATTGTTGTCTCTTTATCTTAGTGATGTCTAACTCAGTCTATCCTGTATTCCGTATTAGATTACCTAGCTTCGAGTCAACCAAAACTTCGTTCACTGCATCAGTTATCCGGTCATATCTCTTCAACATGTACACACCACACAGCAAACTCGAACAGGTTTTGCAGTCTTGTTGCAGTATGAGTTCCTTTCTGTGCATCAAAAACCAGAATAACTGCGTCTGATCATACAACCTCCAAGTTACCTACTTAATGCCGCAAATTTATAAACACTACAGACTACATAGCACGTCAGCATACCATTACATTGCAAATTATGGTAGCAGTCGGGTTTAACACGACAAACAAAGAAACAGATAAGAAAAATATGTTAAATTTAGGCTATTTTCCCCTAATAAAAATTGGTTGATTATCGCGATAATTTTCGGGAATTATCGCGATAATCGATAAAGATCTTAGGCAAATTATCGGCCGATATCGGTTGGCAACCCTATTCATTACTGAGTTTTAAGTCAACTGATAACGTGATGTTCATGTATTGATGGAACAGGAATCTACTAAAACTTTTGTGCAGGGCCGCTAACTTTATCACAGTAATATAAAGTGGATTTGACCAAGCGTTCTTAGAGTTGACTAAGAGCTCTTAGAACGCTTGGTCCACATCAGTACATACCAAAGTACATACCACAAGTACATTGTACATACCCAATTATACCACATCAGTACATACCAAAGTACATACCACAAGTACATTGTACATACCCAATTATACCACATCAGTACATACCTAAGAGGAACAGGTTGCCGTTTGTAATATAACTTAACAGACTACATTTGATACATCCTCTTTCGCAGTTTCCGATAATTGGTATAGGTCTGATTACGACTACAATTAATTTGTACAGCTTTAACTCGATTGGGTAATCCAGTAATTGAGTTATGAGTTATAATTAACCTGAAATTAAGTTATTTATTCCCGAATTCTATGAAACGTGCCTAATAATGGTTTTGTCCCTAATAATGGTTCTGTTCGTTACGCACATGTGATATGCAGAAATTATACTTATATTGTAAGTGTGGCATTTTTACAATTTGGTGTGGCATTTGTGTGGTATTTTTACACTTTCCTTGAACACCTCCTAGCGACTGGGAGGAAATTTTGGATGCCAGTATATTCAGATGAATTTGGCCCTTGAGATCGCTAAAAATCTCACCACATTCTTAATTTTGTGGTTATTGAATTAAATTACTGATCTCAGTGGCAACTTTAAACACTTCGCTCTATCCTCCAAACTCAAAAATCACGTCCGGCCATGACCACATTCCCACATTCCCACATTCCCACATTCTTCACCAACCATCGTGAGCACTCAAACTCAAACTGTCGCTGTGAAATCTCCTCCCCCACAGGGTCCCTGCTCCCCCATGGCCCATTCCCTGGCATATCAGTTATAACACACCCGGGGACTAGGTCGAGGGATTAATGTTATCACTAACTATCACTACCAGACGTCTAGCCTTGTACCAGCCTGTTTTAGAGAGGTATTTACTATTTATAATGGTATTTACAGTGTTGGCCACACTTCATGTGGTGTGATGTTGTGGTGTGTTGTGATGTTGTGTGGTGTGTTAACAAGATGTTGGTGTAAGTGGCGGCTCTCTCATCGTCTCACGTTAGTCATGCTGTACGCACTCGTGTCCCTGCACACCACGTACAGTGTACGTGGTGTGTCGGTTGTCATGAGTCCCTGAGGGTTGTGGTGAGGAGGGGGGAGCAGTGTTTTGAGCGGTATTTTGTGGCCGTTTGTTGAGGTGTTGGCATGTTGTCAATGTCAACAATGAACCAAGTAGTTTGTTGTTTTGCGGGGTTGTCTTCAGGGCTGTGTAGATCTGATGGTTATGCCGTGGTTGCTGAACAAAAAGGACGTGTTCCTTATGTTCCATCTCTCTTATAAGTATATTCAAGTTAAACAGCTTTACACTATGTCGCTTTGTGTTGCATCCTTTATTGGCTTATATCTCGTATATGATTGTAGTACAAGCAGTGGCTGAACTCTGACGGCTTTTGATAAAAGCTTTATGTCCCTATACTCTCATTTATCCACGTGCTCCCGCTTTCAATAGCTTCAGAATCTTTCTTTCCCACAGCAATTTATGGGTCCTTTGAGGTTTTAATTTGATCGATATTAGAAATGCACAATCAGTACAAAATCCTTAAAGAGATCAAGAGAAACATACGTTTGTTCCTTTATTGATCGGATTGTTTACAAACTTCGGTAAAACCATTAAGTTATAATACTTGTTTATTGAATTTTCTACAGAACTCGATGGAAACTCTCTATCAGTAATTCAGCTCATCGTTCAATAATTTGATATTAATCAATGAAAACGTTTAGAGGCAGCCTAGTCCACGCGTATCTCCCTTTTGGAAACTGATAATTTATCATTGCCACATACGAGTGAGGCGAACGACATATTTACAATAATTAATTAACATAATTAAACAAATATATCAGTCACCAACTCTATCACTTGTTTGTTTGTTTATAGAACCCGTCCCCAATCTCGTATCGGAAAATGACTAAACTCGGGTCTTAGTGTGAATACGAGTGTTCATTAAGAGATTAAGCATTCAGATCTTTAGCATCACTTATCCCCCGTAGTCGTATGATGATATTTCAATATTCCAGGATATAATTCCTGTAAATTCATTGTTATGATGAAACAAAAGTAACATTATGTGTTATATAATATAATGATTAATGAGTACCTAATGAGTATATAATATATATTATGATTGTACTCATTCAGTTCCAAATTGCTTACAATGTTACCGCGAGCCGCAGTGGCTCCTATAATCTAACCGCACAGCACTATTGACTGTTACTGTGTGGTGTTTGCGTTGTAGCTTCTTTTATTGGCTGTTATATCATCATGTATAATTGGCTTAATTATGATTAAAATTGAGTGCAATGGTCTGGTGTCCCTCGTTAAAAGCTTTATACTCTTGTTTTGTTATGTACTTTTGCTTTCTTTAGCTTCAGGCAGTTTGCTCACCCTACACGAGTGTTTATCAAGAGATTAAGCATTAAGATCTTTAGCATCACTTATCCCCCGTAGTCGTATGATGATATTTCAATATTCCAGGATATAATTCCTGTAAATTCATTGTTATGATGAAACAAAAGTAACATTATGTGTTATATAATATAATGATTAATGAGTACCTAATGAGTATATAATATATATTATGATTGTACTCATTCAGTTCCAAATTGCTTACAATGTTACCGCGAGCCGCAGTGGCTCCTACAATCTAACCGCACAGCACTATTGACTGTTACTGTGTGGTGTTTGCGTTGTAGCTTCTTTTATTGGCTGTTATATCATCATGTATAATTGGCTTAATTATGATTAAAATTGAGTGCAATGGTCTGGTGTCCCTCGTTAAAAGCTTTATACTCTTGTTTTGTTATGTACTTTTGCTTTCTTTAGCTTCAGGCAGTTTGCTCACCCTACACGAGTGTTTATCAAGAGATTAAGCATTAAGATCTTTAGCATCACTTATCCCCCGTAGTCGTATGATGATATTTCAATATTCCAGGATATAATTCCTGTAAATTCATTGTTATGATGAAACAAAAGTAACATTATGTGTTATATAATATAATGATTAATGAGTACCTAATGAGTATATAATATATATTATGATTGTACTCATTCAGTTCCAAATTGCTTACAATGTTACCGCGAGCCGCAGTGGCTCCTACAATCTAACCGCACAGCACTATTGACTGTTACTGTGTGGTGTTTGCGTTGTAGCTTCTTTTATTGGCTGTTATATCATCATGTATAATTGGCTTAATTATGATTAAAATTGAGTGCAATGGTATGATGTCCCTCGTTAAAAGCTTTATACTCTTGTTTTGTACTTTTGCTTTCTTTAGCTTCAGGGAGTGTGCTCACAATTGATCGAGGAATATATTTAGATTTCAATTTGATCAATAACAGAAAGAGTCCCTTCATTAATCATGTTAACCAGAGAATTATTACATAAATGAGTACCTACTAAAACTTACATATTGTCAGCTCTAATACTCAATTATTGAGAGTTTTCTAGCGGATTTGACTTATAATTAGAAGTCGAATCTGCTAGAAAACTCCCAGCAATTGAGTATTCCAGCTGACAAAATGTCAGTTTCTTTCTGTAATTGATCAAATGATTACATCGTAATTGATTCATAATTTTTTTAAATCTAGTTCGTTGTTTCCCTATCGGATATTTAGTGATTGCTAATTACCACAAGAATAAGGGCCGAGGGGTCCAGCTTTCCCGCGACATTCAACGCTACGACACATTAATTTAATCTGAAGATAATCTGACAAGATCTTCATAACACAATCAAGACAATGTCTTGATTGTCTTGAAGACATGAATTAGAATCTGAACAAGTATTACTATTATAGTTCAAATATCCCAGAATATATCTCCTGTACCACAATCTCACAAAACAGTTATATGCTCGACAAGAAAAACGCCATTTTAGGACGCACGGAGAGTGAGGACTCCTCGGACTACATTCAATTAATTGCATGTGTAATGTCCTCAATAAAGTTAGAATAGATTTGTAATGTTGTAATTAGTTGAAACCTAACACCCCACATCTTTCAGATGATAACAACTTCAACAACTTCGCCCCCTCGCCAGTGACTCAACAACCTCTCACTCCCTTTAACATCCCTCCCGCTAACATCGGTAACATCCACCCGGGCATGATCCCCAGCACCATACCCGGCAACTCACCCAGCAACATGTTCCATATGATGAGTATAACTGAGCGGGAATCTCGCATCCTCTCCCCCGTTAATATCAGCCAGGGTAACCTGGCTCACAACGCTTTTAACCACTTTTAGAACCTTAAAATCTTCTAGAAGCTTGCTCACAACGCTTTTAAACACTTTTAGAACCTTAAAATCTTCTAGAACCTGGCTCAAAACGCTTTTTACCACTTCCAGAGTTGTGGTTGTGGTGGTGGAGTTGTGTTTTGGTCGGCAGTTGGAGGTGGTTGTTATGTGCACTTATCTTGCTTTTTCACGTCCAGGGATAAAATCTATCACCCGCGGTTTTGTGGGTTATCTTGAATATCCACGGCAGGATGATGATTTACAGTACGGCATTAAGAGGCTAAAAGCCTGAGTAGCTGTAGATATTTTCATCCCTAGACGCAAGGAGAAATATTAAGAGCATGGTCAGGAGCTTTATAGTTACGGAGATAATATTATAGCATTGACTGCAACCCTGTGCCCTTGGTACGTGCAATTGGCACGTGCAATTGGCACGTGAGCGTTGTTCTTCTCTGATACCCCTGCTCAATTAAAATTCTAAACTTAAGAATGGTTAAGACAGAACATATTCTCATTGAGAATGATTGTCATTCCATTAATAAAAGTAACGAATGAAGAGTAGTAGCGATTGTACTGAAGCAACCGTTGCAACAACAGGAAAAATATCATTTACATAATGACAGCTCCTGATCGTGACTATTATAGAATTAATCAAGATTTCCGGATATGTTGGATTGCTAAGGTCTCTGGCCAGACAACATAAAAACAGTCTTAATCTTTAAAGTGTTAATCTTCGTATATTATTGAGGTTTTTCTATAGGTTGATTTCACAGTATCAATTTTATTGTTAAAACCATGGTGGTGGCCTGATTAAATTATGTACTATTTCAATTTTGAGAGACGGTGAATTATGTTATTTTGTAAGAGTGTGTAGACGAGTTTATCATAGACTGTAGGCACCTGTGTAAAGTGGAAACGAGTAATTGACCAAATCCATCCTCAGATAAATAAATTTCTCATCTTTTAACATAATGCCGTACAAAAAAGTCGCTGATAATTGCTAATTTGATAATTTGATTTCGTTCCCATCGTCGGACCTCAAAATCCTGACCTGATGAGAGTTTGATAATTTTAACAGCTGCATTTTCTTGGACTCCGTCTGATGCTACCATCCCGTGAGATAAAGGTTTTAAATATATTTTGCCCCAACTCAAATCTCTAGTTCTATAAGTTAATGCGCTCAACTCTCTGATAAAATATCATTAGTTGCCAAGTGAATGTCTAGACAATCCGAGACCACCAAATTCTTTATCTTTTTTGACGGGGTTTCAAAATTAGGTTACCTATTTGACTTTATCCATAAAGGTTAAAAGTATCAATCCAAACGAATAATTTCTTTATCTTTTTAACGGGGTTCAAAATTAAGTTACCTATTTGAATTTATCCATAAAAGCGTTGAAAGCATCACCTTTTTAGAGTCTCTTGTGGGAGACGGTTATTTGAACATAGAGATTATACACTATACAGCTACAGGACGTTTTCTTATGTCTATAACTCCCTCTTCGGTTCGTGCGTGGCCACCGTAACATGATTGAATATTTAATTACCTCCTTATTTGATTACTTCCTTAATAGCCTCATGTTTAAATTAAGCCACCTGACACCCGTTAAATGTTAATCTAAATTGATATCCTTGAGGGAATTAACTTTAAGTAACGGAAAGTAACTTTAATAGTTGATGTCCGATGCGATTTGTATGTCTGTTAACAAATGGTATTAATTGTTTTCTATCAGTAACTACTAATTATGATAAAGTCTTGGTAGCCCTATCTTGATTGAGTGTTAGCTGTCAATATAACTATTAATTTTAGCAAAAACATCTGGTCCCCTGTTTAGTTGCCGTCTCTTAATTTTCTGAACTAGATACAGTTTTCTGAGCTAGATACAGTTTTCGTGTAAATCGTATTCAAACATCTCAGTCCTGTTTCGATGGTTATTTTGGTGTTTACACTCCCCTGATAACAGCTAGGGTTTAACAAATCACTTTCATGGAAGTACAGTTCCAAGAAAACCGTGTCAAGCAACACAAAAGTTGCAATGTCAGAAAATTGATTAATTGGTGGCGAAAGATTAGCAATTATGGTGCTAGCTGCTGTGGGAGAATAACAGGGGGGAGTGTGAAGGTGTGTGTAAGTGGGAGAGTGTTGTACCTACAGTACACCCCCGTCCCATGTTGTGACGCCGTGTCCCTTGTTCGGGTCCCTTGTTCGGGTTTCTTGTTCCCCCAGCACGTATTGTTCACTGTCTGTTCGGACCATATTGTTTTCTGTCTCGGTCTCTTTCAGGTCTTTTACCTTTCACCGCCTTTTTTTACTCTTTATACAAGGTAGCCATTCCGACATTCCGTTTAAAAGTGTTGGAAATCATCAATATGCTGTTCATTCCTCATCCAATTATCGTGGAGAGCAAGAATTTGGCACATTCGTTTCAAAATCTACCATAATATTATAACTTGATACTTAATAACATGGTTCACCGTTTTTGTGCCTACTCAAAAATAGTGAACCATGCTATTACTACTCTAATTATTTGCTGAGCGAAAAGCCCTGATGTGTCCCTATCCGTTTCCGTAGAAACGCCTAATTCTGAAGTAAGGAGTGATAAAGGTGACCGCCGATGCGCCATGCGGGGTGCCCTTAGTTTGCGGGGAATGACCTCAGTTTCTAGTTTTATTAGCAGGTTAGATTCCTCTTCCTGCCACAACACAAATATTTATTTTAATCCTTGCATTTTAATTTTTGTATACTATGAATTTTGTTTTTCTTTTAATTTATAAGCCTGTCAAGACTTTGGGTTTCATCGAATCTATCTATCTAATGATTGGCCTAAGGAAAAGATTGGGAGATGGCAAATCAGCGGATAGCAGTGCTGTGTACCACTAACTCAATTGACAGAACTCATTTTCTGAATGAGTGCATTTATTCAATGAATTCGCATGTTCATAACTCGATTCACGCAAAGAATATTACTTTGGACTAACTGAAATTTGCCTAGTGCGCAATTTTTATTTACCAGTCTTTACTGTGTACCATTTTTACGTGGTGACCATATATGGTCATCACGTGACCCCAGTCTTTACTGTGCACCATTGTTACGCGGTGACCATATAAGGTAATCACGTGACACCAGTCTTTACTGTGCACCATTGTTACGTGGTGACCATATAAGGTCATCACGTGACCCCAGTCTTTACTTTACGAATCTATCTGTGAGCGATACTAAATCTACATTATTATGTTTTAACTCTTGTGTGAGTAGGATAATTAGTTTTGTAAGATTTTACGTTTGTCAGATAATCATTTTAATTTCGCCGTTTCCAGTTTTGTAAATCTGTGGTTCGAGTTCTTTCGACATTCAGTCTGGAAATCTTTGTATATTTTTGATATATCAAAATGTCGAAAAATGCTTGAACTAATCATAGTGAAAAATTGTTTTGAGATTTTAACATGACTATCAAAATTTTGTAAAGCACGACTTAAGAGAGATACTTAATCGCTGGGAACGACGATATATGTACTATACATTTCTTTTCATTATCTTGAAACTTTTTAGGGAGATGATCTATCATAATTGACGGTGATAAGCCAATCAGCTTCTAATATTGATCTAAATTTGTGAATCGCTGTCACGAGTAAAACCAAATGTGGATCACCTCCCCACCAATGTCTGTTGTGTAACTTTGTGTCCCGTGATCCGTTATATTAAACTGCAGAAAGATTTTTGTTCACTGCTATTTTCATGAAGTTTACTGAAATTAGAAATGTAGACTTGCGCTGTCTACTTTTTACTGTTCACCGTACAGTGAAAATCAGTGGTGTCCTCCTAACCCCGGCGAAAAGTGACGTGTAAAATTTCTAATTTTTATCAAACTAAGTTGACCGTAATAGTTTGACCTGGTATTTTTCCATTACGAAATAGTAATACTGAAGACAAACATATTTATATGTTAACAATAATTAAAAGGATTATCCTTAGAAAACTAGCCTTGATAACTAGGCAACATGGTGTCATGAGCCAGCAGGTCGTCTAAACAGCAGGCCGGACACCACTAGAGACTTGAGCACGGTGTGCAAGATATCGCTACGTTAATTTTGTGAGGAATATTATACGCGTGTTGACTGGTGGTCTTGACGTTACTGGTCGGTGGAGTGGCGCTTGTTTTATGATTTTTGTAAGATCTGGTAATTTCAAGCTGATACCTTTAATTGGGGGACCACTGCTCTTTGTTTGGGGACCACTGCTTTTTGTTTGGGGGCCACTGCTCTTTGTTTGGGGACCACTGTTCTTTGTTTGGGATCACTGCTCTTTTTCGACAAGATGAAAAGTTTCGGTTTTGTTTGAGATTTGCACCATCACAATAAGTGGTTTTGAGCAATTTTAATGCCGGAAATTTCGACTAATTATAAATTAGAGAGAGCACAAAAATTGTGGTGATCCCCCAAGATTTCAGTTTTTTAAAACACTGCACCTCCTTATACGACAGCAACATAAGGCCATCAATTCTTTATTATATTGTTATTCCAGAATAAATTATGAAGATGTTATTCACTATTCAGTGACGATGATGATTTTTCGAATTTTGTGTGTTCAGATGTTCGTTCTTCTTCTTCTCCTCTAATTTTAGCATACATAACATTACGACTTACCTATTATTCATGGTTAATTTTTATTTTCATAATTCTTTTGCGTTTTATTGAGCATTTTACTGAATTACTGCTTTTTAATCATCCTGCGTCACTTCGACCATGCCCCCAGGACAACCCAACAGACCTTCTCATTATTTCACACTGCAGATTAGCTCCGAATATTTGGAACTCCTACGCTCCCATGATATTTAAGGTCGTGTCTGTCACGGCTATCTTTTCTGTTGACGTAAAAGAGTTGTTGTCTGGGGAACGAGGCCATGGTGGAGCACAGAATAATTTGTCAAGCGGTGAATTTAGATAATATACGAATTATTTGTGGACATTTTATCAGCCCTGTCACAACACGGATATAACTTAATATTATATTATAAGTGCACTGAATATTATGAGAGTTATTGTATATTATTATTAACCAATGATTCAGTTTACCAAAAACTTGGTTAGAACAAATAATTAATTTAACCGCTAATCCATTGTTGAAGGTCTGTCGATGACTCTATGGCACTATGGCAACAACTATCTACATGTAATGTGAGCACGATACAGGAGCTTTATGGTCACAGTCCAATCAGTATTTTGGTTAGTTTTTTTGATGATTAACTTAATTAATTTAATTAAGTTTTTAAATGCTGAACTTAATACCCTTACTCTTGGATTACTTATTAGGCACTTATTTTGGGCCTCTCTAAGCTAAATGTACGCAACAGTGTATAATATTATTAACCACTTGCCATCATTTATAATGTAATAACATAATGCATAGTAATATGATCCATTTAATACCTACATTTTATTACACGAATATACTAATTCAACTACAGAGAATTTAATGAATTTAACTTAAGTTTTAATGTGTATTATTATTATTCAGGTAAGACACAACTTAGCAGAACACATAGAAGTACGACCATGGAGCCAGTACAATGTGGAGGATCCGTCTCACCAGAGGGACATTCAGCAGGAGTTTGCTGTTAGTTTCGCTTTCACTTTCACTTTTGGCTATATTTTCATTCTTTAAGCTTTGTCTGAGCTGGAAATAGAGTCTTTTTCATCTCATTTCACGTTATTGAATTTTCTTAGTATACAGTTTCCTTATGTCAGTAGATAATTTAATGAAGAGCCACTATTTTTCAGCATTTCATGATGATGTTAAAGTTTAAGATAAGTGAGTTGCGGAACAGTGGGGATATGGAACGAATTATAGACACCTCCCAAAGACTAGAGGAACAGTACAACATTCTAAACAACAACTTCTCTACAAACCCCAGCGAGTTTATCAAGAAAATGCAGCACCTGCTTTCTGAGGTATAATATAGCCACGACAAATAGGTCCTAGGTAACTTAAGTAATATATTATATAGAGTTCACTGAATATAAGACCCTCTCAACTTCTCAATTTGATTAGTAATATGTAGTATTCCTACTGATTGTCAAGCTGAGGATCCTGGCAATGTAACACCATTGTAACACCATTGTAACACCGTTGTAACACCATTGTAAATACCACACCATACAGGAAGCGAAGATACTCCGTGCAGCAGACACCCCAGAAATGGAAGTGAAACCCACTATAGGTGACACGTGGATGGGGGATTTGCAGGGCTCCCTCTTCTCCCTCTCCTTTAAGCACGTCAAGGAGCTGAAAGCAAGGATAGACGAGCAGATCAACACGCTGGATGAGAGGGCTGATCTAAAGAGGCTGAGTCAGGAGGAGATGCACAGGAAAACAGCAAGCTTCCAAGCTCGCATGTCTGAGATGAATGCTGCTCAGCGGGAAAGTGTTAGTAACTAAGTAACTAAGTAACTTGGCAACTATACCCTCAAGTATTTACCACGTGTTACTCTGGTTAGAAAAGCACCTGTTTTCCGAGCGAAAATAAATACTTGAAATCAGTCTTCTTTGTAAGTTTGAAAGTAGCAGTTCCATTTGGGAAGTTGAAGTAGTCAAACCTCGATTTAATGAAATTATTTTGGTTACTGAACTCTCGTTACTAGCCGTGCTAAATCGTTGTTGACCCCTCGTTGTTACAATAGTGGTTTCAATATATATTTGGTATTAATCCCCCCCCCCCCCCCCTCAGTTTCATCAGAACAGAGAGAGATGCATGAGAACACTCCAAGGAATGCACTCTCAGATTAACGAAGTAGTTACTCGACTACTCTCTCTATTTGATGATATAACAAGAAAGCTCAAAGAGGCCCACGACTATATTCTCAAGGTACCTTACTTCCCAAAAATTTGATCGACGAAAAATTTTCCCGCCTAAATTTTTATTGATCAAATTTGTTGAGCCCAAAGTTTTCACAAGAAAACCAAGTTTTCACAAGACAACCAAGTCAAGTCATCATTAACATTAAGGATCATTAAAATATTTGGGAACTAAGGACATGGTACTGTAATATGGAATCGGTAAAATATTAATTATTGTAATAATAAGTTATATATTATAATAAATTATAATAATAAGTTATATATTATGGTTCACAAATTTGTGGGTACTAAGGTACTGTGGAACGGAATCGAAAAAATATTAATTGCGGTTTCGTAAAATATTCATTATCTTTCGTCATTCATTAAGGTCCTCGGATATGAGGCTGGAGGCACACCTCAGGAAATAGATGACTAAACTGCCATTTTCCTCAGGAAATAGATGACTGGAAGGAAGAACAAAGAAGGGGGATGATCAGTGGAAAGCAGCCACCCTCCCTTGACTACATCGAGAGGGACGCTTGCGTGCTCGCTGATGCTCTCACGGGGTGCGCCAGCTACTACGCTCGCTTGTAAGTAATAATAATAAATGACAATATACTAAATCGGTAAAATATAGTTAGTAGTATTTATATTTATAACGCTACTACCTTAACTAATATACAGTAGTTATAAAAGTGTTTATATATGGTTACTGTAGTTCATCTCTTTATCACCAGAATGGAAAACAATAACTGAATTATAGCACTCGCCAATAACCAGCGAACCGTTTCAGTATCATTTTAATTCATAGTTTTGTAGCTGCCGGTTAATATAGTTCACATTCTCTCCAGGCGAGATCATCTGGACGACATGGCGGAGAACAGATCCCTAATCTTGCAGTTCCACGGTGTGATACTCAACTTTATCAGAGCCCTCATGTTCAAGTGCTTCATCATAGAGAAACAGCCTCCACAGGTATGCATTTCTCGTATGTAAGTCACATGTAAGTCACATGTAAGTCACATGGTCCACGGAAATTATTCTTAATTCACGAGCTTACAAAATGTGAAGAATCTTCCCAAATTTCATGAAGATTTCCTCTAGTGATAGTTGATCTCTATTATACCCTTCTATAAATATGTTGTCTGATACGGGTATAGGACGCAGCGGCGGAAGTCACTGCGGCGGTTGACGGTACAGCGGAGGACGGTACAGCGGAGGACGGTACGGCGGTAGTTTCCAAAAAGGTTGGACGGTGCGGCGGATCACATGACACCCACTTTACTTTGGACAGTACGGCGGTACTACTACTACTAGAAACTGTACCTATAAGATAGACCTAGCACTGCTAATATAACAAAATCGATTAGCTATAAAAAGTTCTATTTTCCTCTTTGTTACTTCGAAATTAAATTAAATTAAATTAAAATTAAATTAGATAAAGTTTAACATATACAATATACATTGTGATTACTAAGAGCAGTTCTTCCACTTTCTGGTTCGTATCAGATCGCGTCCGGTCTGCACAACGGTGGTTAAGCGAGTGCACGATGAGCTTGTTACGGTGAGATCTCATATCACTGCGCCGAGATGCAATGGGTAATAACAAGGGCATGAGAACACGTCACGATCGCATCCAGGAATCTGATCAACCGTAGCCAAGAAGAGAGGTTGCTCAGTGAAACGTAGATAATGATAGAGGCAAACGCCAAACAGTATATAAAGCGGATCAAAGTTGAGGAGATTATCTCATTAGCACCACCATTTCCACTCTCCAGTACTGCAACACTACAACTTGAGTACAACAGCTACAACGATGTTCGATGAAGATACGGTGAAGGTGGTCAGAGGGAGAACTGCTAAGAGTCAGAACCTTCTACACCGATGTTTCCGCTACTCCAAAGATGGAAAGCCGACTCTGGATGGACGACAGGCTTGGAGGTGCGTGAAGAAGAACGACAGATGCAAGGGACGACTCTACACCCTCAACGGATCCCTGGTGTCAGTCACCCAGCCTCACAACCACAGTGCCGACATAGCTGACTGCGAAGTCCGAGAAACCCTCTCCCAAGTCCACGATCTGGCTGCGACTACGATTACTCAGAACCACAGAATCTACTGCTCCGTTACTGGCTCGCTGTCCCAGACTGCTCGCTTCCTCCTCCCCAGTGAACAAGCGGTGAAGAAGCAAGCTTAGAGAGCCCGCCGGAAGGAGAACCCTGTCCCTAGAGCTCCGACGAACCTGGCAGACCTAGAACTGGAGGAGGACGACTGCATGTCTCTGGCTGACCTATGCTCCAGTTTGATAACAAAGACGACGAGCGACGAGTTATCATCTTTGGGACGGAGAAGAACCTGCGAGCCCTGGACGCCTTCTTCAGTATCCTGGCCAAGATGCCACCGACCTCCTCGCCTACTTCCAGACGACATGGATCCAGGGACTCACCAGAGAAAAACGACAAGGACAGGAGGATTCACCGCATCGTGCAGAACTACCACTCTTATGAAGATGATGTCTTGACTTACCTGGATCTGCTCAGAAGTGTTATGTGAACTATTGATTGCTGTAACTTCTTGATAATGATTTGTGGGATTTAGATATTATTGCTATTGAGTGTGTCAAGTTATATTAACTTTTTGATTTTCAACAACTCAATATTCTCGATTTACATTGTCTGCAAAGCCCTGAATAAAAAAATGAACAACTAAACTAACAAGAATTATACAAAATGATAAAGAGAAAAGAAAAAATAAAACTTATAATGCGAATCTAGAACAAAACTTAGAAAACAAGTTGAATGTGTAAGTTCTGTCTTAGGTACAGTTTCTAGTAATAGTAGTACCGCCGTACTGTCCAAAGTAAAGTGGGTGTCATGTGATCCGCCGTACCGTCCAACCTTTTTGGAAACTACCGCCGTACCGTCCTCCGCTGTACCGTCCTCCGCTGTACCGTCCACCGCCGCAGTGACTTCCGCCGCAGTGACCGGTTCCCGTCTGATACATCTATTACAAAAAAAATTGTTCCACCTCTAAAAGCTGTCGAACATGTAATCATCTTTAAAAGAAACAAATATTGCTCACCTCCCCACCAGAATCCACATTTATTGACCGTTGCAATCTAAACAGGTAATGAAGCGGGATACAAGGTTCTCGGCCGGCGTCAGAGTTATTGCCGGTGAACGCTGGGGATTTGCCATCAAACAACCATCGGTAAGACCCTCACGCTAGTTTTTATCCCTGTATGCAAATCAATTAGCAAATTTAATCAATGATAGAAGTTTAAATTTTATAAAAAGCTTCGTCAGCTTAATTTGTTGTAGGACTAAATCAAGATAACACCCTGCAGGTGAAAGTGAATCTAGTAAATGCTGAGCAAGCTCAAGCTATTCTGAACCACAACAATAGTGATGTACGAGACGTTCAGGTGTGCGGAGAGGTCCTCAACGGTGATAAGGTAACACTTTCTCTTTCACTTTCAATACAACGGTGATAAGGTAACACTTTCTCTTTCACTTTCAATACAACGGTCGCGGTGATAAGGTAACACTTTCTCTTTCACTTTCAATACAGGAAAGATAGGGTAACATTCCTCTAAAGATATCACTTTTGTAATACAGACCCGGTGTGCTAAACTGTGTTTGGTGATTGTCGTAGTTAAACTAAACTGCGAATCAAATATTTCTCTGCCTAATGTTATAGCAGACTTTTTTTAAAGGGGGCCATTTGTAAGTTATAAAAGTTTTGTGCTGCTGACTAATCTGGGGGTTTATATTTGTATCCTGAAATTGTACTTCAGGTGATGGACTACTCTACATCGACAAAGACAGTACAGTTCCAGTTCAAGAACCTTGTCCTGAAGAAGTTGAACCGAGCAGCGGACAGACGGGCTGCTGAACTTGTGACCGAGGAGAAGTTTGGTGTTTATTTCCAGTGCTCGGTACGTTCAATACTAATAGTCAGTGTTCATATTTTTCCTTTGTTTTGCATTTTAAACTGTTTGATGGTGAAATTGTTGGTGATATGAAAACCACCTTTGTTGTTTGCAGGTAGACCTACCTTATAAGAGAGCTACTCACCTCACCCCCACTCCAACATCGGAGACTCCCGCATGGTGCTTCCAGCCGTCTCTCTCCCCGTCACAGTGACCGTCCATGGCAGTCAGTCCTCCGCAGCAGAGGCCACCATATTCTGGGACAACAGTTTCGCTCCAAGGAACAGAGAGTCTTTCGTTCATCCCGGTGCACACCCGTGGGGCGAACTTAAGGTTTGAAATTTGAGGGTCTGGTAGGCTAAACTGGATTAACCCCTCCTTGATACTACTCTCTAGAATTTAAAGATTTACTGAGATGATCATATTATAGTCTCCTTATAGTTATTATCAATTGTCTTATATTTGATTCAATAAGACCTGAAGTAGACCAAAAATGCAATTGTCGGTGAAAACTTATTTTCCCTCTTCGTTGGAAAGTTGTAGACTCTAATCTCCTATTTTAAAGAACGCAATTAAGTTTGGGATTTCCAAAGCGACCAGATACAATTTGTTGATGAAATTATGATCAGAATTAGTGAGAGATGTCCCAGTTGTCCTTATTGCCAGTATAGTGGCATTTCGCAGATCAACAATTGTTGTGAAGTATAGTGGCAGTTCACAGACCCCGCTAGTATTCTTTCTATTTTAATATTCTTCTTCTGGAAGTATCTTATCTTCCGCCACAAATAAGCTGATTTTAGGTTATCAAATCTGTTATTTTTCAGGCCCGGATAAGTGACTGTTTCATGAAAAACACCGACCGTTATCTGAACGAAGATGCACTGCGGTATTTAGGGATGAAAGTGTTAAATCTTGACTCACCAGATGATTTGGACAACAAGCCAGGTCAGTCCCTCCACCTAAACCTGCTGCTAAATATCGGTAAACTCGCACAACTTCCTAAACCTGCTGCTAAATATCAGTAAACTCGCACAACTTTCATAATCTATTTTTACATTTGATCTTTTGCATAATTGTCTTTTAAATATTTGTATTTTTTGTTGCGGTTTTTATAATTATCAATGATATGCTGCAATTAGACAACGAACGAATTTTATTATTATCGCAGTTCATAAAGTTTTCATTGCGGCTTATAAACTTTCCATTGCGGTTTATATAACAATCACATTTGTTCGGAAAATGGATGGCATTAAGTTGCGAACTAGCCAAAAGTGCGGGATAAGTAAATCTAATGAGTGAGATTTGCAACATCTGGGTCACGTGACTGAAGCAAACCAATCACTGAGTCACACCTCGAGGTTCCTATAATGTCGCGGGACACTTGATGACTTGAGGGCTACTGGATGGCCAGGGGTCACCTGAGAACCAATATTTTTAACAAGTTTTGTGATTCCGGAGAAGTCAAAGTTACAATTTCCCGGTTTTCGGTAGAAAAGAGCTGCAAAATTAATTTATGATTATATTAAAGACGTTTTAGAATTGGAAGATCTGTTAGGTCTGGCAGACTTATCACTTAACTGGATTAACATAACACGTCCTTGATACAACTCTATATAATTTGAAGTGTTAGTTCCCGCACTGTATAACGACAGAGCTATATTACGACAACACTATAATACAAACTTTAATCTCCCAAATGTTCATATAATAATCCGTTATTTCCAGTTTCGTGGCAGGCTTTCTCCAAAGATACTCTGAAGAGACCCGACCGGACGTTCACTTTCTGGGAGTGGTTATACAGCTGCATCGACCTCATCAAGAAACACTTTCTGCCCATGTGGAAGGATAATCTCATCGAGGTTTAATTTTACTTTTTATTTTATGAATGTTCTATAAAGTATGAAATGTCTACTGCTTTTTATTGGGGATGATTGAGGCGACTAAAACTAATTGAAGAATAGCTTTTATTTCAAGGTTCTAGTATAAAGTGTGCTGAATAATCTTCTGAAGAGCGATGATGCTCCTCCGGACAATTTTTCACAGTTTAACAAAATATTTAATCTGAATTTAACTTTCACCCGATATTGTTCTTTTGACTGTTATGGTTCATGTTTTCAGGGATTTATATCGAAAGCAAGAACAGAAGCATTACTGAAGTCAGCTGAACCGAACACATTTTTACTCAGATTCCCAGACTCAAAACAGGGTTCGTATCTGTCTTGTCTTGTCACGTGTCTTGTCACATGTCTTGTCACGTGTCTTATCACGTGTCGTGTCTTATCACGTGTCTTGTCACTTGTCTTGTCTTGTCACGTGTCTTATCACGTGTCTTGTCACGTGTCTTATCACGTGTCTTATCACGTGTCTTGTCACGTGTCTTGTCACATGTCTTGTCACATGTCTTGTCACGTGTCTTATCACGTGTCTTGTCACGTGTCTTGTCTTGTCTTGTCACTTGTCTTGTCTTATTACGTGTCTTATCACGTGTCTTGTCACGTGTCTTATCACGTGTCTTGTCACGTGTCTTGTCACGTGTCTTGTCACGTGTCTTGTCTTGTCACGTGTCTTGTCTTGTCTTGTCACGTGTCTTATCACATGTCTTGTCACATGTCTTGTCACATGTCTTGTCACGTGTCTTATCACGTGTCGTGTCTTATCACGTGTCTTGTCACTTGTCTTGTCTTATCACGTGTCTTATCACGTGTCTTGTCACGTGTCTTGTCACGTGTCTTGTCACGTGTCTTGTCACGTGTCTTGTCACGTGACGATGTTTATTTCGGGTAATATTTGCTGTATTTTTGACCCGCAGTTCGCTGAATCTGCCGTTCATTTTATATCAAAGTCAAACATTTTATTGGATTGTGTAACAATCGCTTTTCAGGAATGATATCGATATCCTTAAAACAACCTGACTCAAGCGTCAAGCACATCATCTACTCCGCTGCAGAATTAAAAAAGCACGGTCTAGCTCGTAAGTCTCTCCTAAATATAAACTTCTGACTATTTTGGGTTAGTTGTTGGGATCTCGGCAAGATCTGAGCGCTTATTGTCTAGACTAGTGAGACTTTTAGGGTATCTAAATTGGGTGATTTTGTTTGAATTGGTCACTGCTGTTAACAGATAGATTAATCTGCTCGATAGATTAATCTTGTTGCGATCTATTTTTAATCGCGATTCCATGACACATAAACCCAAATTATTCAGATTGAATTTGAAGGCATTAAGATGAATTATTCAACGTTGATATAACAATTTATTTCCATTTCAGAGAGAATTCTTGATCCCGATGTTTTACAGTTTTTGTATCCCCGCCATCCAAAAGAGGTGGGTTGTTTTGATTTTTAATTCTTTAATTTACTTTGTAAGCAATATTGTAGATAGTAAAAGTAACTCAGTGAGGATTTTAGATCTACCATCTTTGTCGAAATTAGCTTTTTGGTGGGTATCATGATAAAGACCACACAAAATGTTCACGAAACATCGGTACGTGAACACTGAACTGTGAACACCCTGTATATCAAGAACTATTCACTATCCGTCTCCATGTACTATCTTGCTAACTCAGATCAAGTAGCCATCTAATTATCTTATCAGTTTAACTAAAGTAATTAACTTACTTAGCAGACTGATTAAACTAACAAATCAACTTTTGTTTAACTTGGGCATAACGCGAACCAAATAAATTCATTACACTAACTAAACAAACTAAACTAAGTGTTAACTTTTAACTATCAAACTAAACTGACTAACTAAACAAACTAAACTAAGTGCTAACTTTTAACTATCAAACTAAACTGACTAACTAAACAAACTAGACAAGGTGTTAACTTTTAACTACAGAACTAAATTGAATACATAAACAAACTTAATAACTTCTCTCTTCGTGCAGATGAAGTTTAAGAAGTACTACAAGGCTGTTAAGGAGGAAGTGCCGGGCTACGAGAAAGATCTGATCAAAGCCCACATCCCGCTCGAACAGTTCGGTTCCAACCCATCCACACCCAGTCCTATTCAACATTCTATACATTCCAACGATTTTTCCGAGGAGTTCCTCATGGAAACGATCGATTATGAAAATTTCCAAAACATGAACCATCAGTATAACAACGAGCAATATATTAGCAATACACGTCAATGATATTTAATTTAACAACAAGTAGAATTGCCATAATAATATGCTTTTACTACTGCCAGACGAATTCATTATTTCATGTCGGTTAAATAAAACTCCCTGAAATTTCAGAGTCGATATTATGAAACTCGACACTTTATTCACTGAACCGGAGTCTGGAAATGAAAATGATTTGATGGAAATCATCTCTTATTTGTAAGCTATATCATTAGATTATAAGCATACTTCAGAAGCACTACTCACATTAAATTGTGTTATGTTTTTTGCGCCAAAATAAAATTTGGATTATCACAGCTATGTGTCCACCTTCTTGGACAAGATATTCATATTTAATGAAAACGAGTTATATAAATACGCGAAAAAATTTTTAAATAGATCTTATCAAAATAAATTGAAACATAACTTTTTGATCCCGATGATTTGCCACAATTACTTTTCGAGCAGTTTACTTATATCATTGTCCATGGATGAACATGTTTGTAGCGTATCTGAAGTATGTCATGAAACACAATGGCTTGATTTGTCTGCATGGTTAGCGGCATAATAACCTATATAATAATTTGTGAAGATTTGTGTGTGTGTGTATGTTCTTGCTGGGCGCTTTCAAACATGCCCGGAATTGGGTTTTTGTTGTTTTCAAGCAGCCAAGATTGGCATGCCAGCTTAAAGATATGGATCGCTTTACCTGATTTTGAGTTCGCCACACAGCATGCACGGCCATTCTTGTTAAAAGTTCTTATTTAAATTCTTATTTAGTTGCTTTTACTTATGCTGTCTACGCACTCAAGGCATGTTAAGTGTCTGTGTAAAATAATGGGGTATTTATTTTTGAGAGAGCGCTATATTTTGTACTGAAATTGCGTGTTTTATAACTTAAAAGCCAGGGAACCTTGTTGCATCCACCCTTTTTAAGATTTAATGGCTGAGGGACTGTGATGTTGAGAATTGGGAACCAACCACGTGACCAACCACGTGACCCTTATTGTAGAACCACGTGACCCTTATTGTAAAACCACGTGACCCTTATTGTAGAACAGCTGGGTTATCTGGCAAGGCTTGATGAATTAGATGCATGGTAGTTAGATAAAAAATAAGTTGTATTTATTGGTTGGTTCCCTGGCAACCGGGCCAGTCTTATTCGCTAATGCTATTGAAATTCAAATATCTCTGCACAGTTTCCCTCCACTATTTCATGCGACTTTTCATAAACTTTTGCAGCGGGCGTCGTCCTTGGAATGGCCAAAATTTCAGCTGCTGAAACTCTGAAAAATTCTTAGAAACTTTTCCACAGCTTTCCTTTCCCGTGAATAAGCAGAGCATCTATTCTGAAACACACCTGATCTGACGCTGACGGACTTTCCCCCCTCTGAACCACTCCATGTTTTCAGTGATTCCTATTGAAGAGGGCTGGAACATCAAACGTTGTTGCCACGTGATGCCCATATAAGGAGTGCTACTTGTTGCTCGATCTATTTGTCAGACCTGACTTAGGAATCTAGGATGGCCCCACACCTTTCCTCTCTCCTGACTGTGACTGTAGGGCGACTTGATTTGAAGTGAGAGTTAATTGTGTGAGTGAACTTGGATATTAGTGGGTAGGTGAGCTTGTTTTGACACGTGTTTTTTTTTGGCCGATCGTTTTCATTTGTTACAAAGAAGGCTCACCTCCCTACTTATATCCAAGTCTATATATTTGGTTAATTTTTGGGCGACGATCCATGATTTAATGACACGTGACATAATGACAGAGTTCAGACCCTGAAACAGTATTGAACAGCACTGTCACGTGTCTAAGCAAGTTGAGATATATAGATCGCCTCCCCACTATGAACCAAGTGTACACGGTACTCTCAAACTACAGGTGTCCACCATTTTAATACGCTGGATACGTCCACTTCTTAATGTTTTAGTCTGAATAATGACTTGAAGACCTTGTTAGCACACGCAGGTTTTTTCAATATCTGCTTTTTTTCAATTCTACTTTCAAATGTCAGTAAATTTCACAGTTTGAATTAATGCTTTTTCGCGACCAAGTTTGTATTCTTATTCGGGCAATGTTTTAACTTAATGGTGTGTCGAAATTGGTCAAAAACAACCATGCGATTTTAAATACTTGCATTTGAATACAAGCTATGAATCTAATGTTGATCACCCTTATGAGTCTGAATTGTTCTGATGAAATAAATTTTCAATTTACTTCTCTGTCACAAACTTTAAATAATCCCAATTAAATACAAAATATGTCTGGCATAGTAGCACAGAAACCCAAATCAGTATCACAACCATATGAACTCGAACAATAAAAACAGCTATAACTATTATAAATATTAACCATAACTATGGCTTCTATTCTCTCGGGAGTCGGGTCAGAACAAATATCAGCCACACGGATGGATGTCTTTGTACTTGGTTTGGTCACAAAATGGCCGGCCAGTCATGGTGAGTAGGCTTGACAGAGGAATGTTGATCGCGCATGTTATTCTAATAATATTGTGTCTGGACTCTGGAGAACCTAGTGCCATGCTGTGTGTGGCATGTGCTTGTTATCAAACCCCCAATTACCGTGTATTTATCGCACTTCTAATCTGATTAACAACCTTGTAATTGATAATGATGTTAATAGCACTGTATGGTCTGTTCTGAGCTGTTTGTAATATTTTGTAGCAAACTCATGTTCTTTAGCGCATTTCCAATGCCCACGTGTGGTAGTCCGGAACACAATTCACAAAAAGTATAAAATTTATATAAATTGTACTACTGTAATCTGATAAGGTGAGGACGAAAGTACTGTTACTTCCTATTGAATATTCTTTATTCATCGGATTCGAATTTGGGGTAAAAACTGACTGATACTACTAGTTAAATATAAAACCATCATTATATTGGTTTAATTATAATATTAACTCGATAAAAAATATTCTCCAGTGATTTGTTATATAGACATTAGACGTACTATGTGTGGATAATTATAATTACATCAGTAATAGTGCCTGTGTCCTGTAGTCTTACTGATGCAAACTAAATTATCGGGGCACAATATGGAGTAATGTGGGTCGGCTTTTTATCTATATTGTTCTGCCTAAAGATTAGTTCTGGAGGGGGTTTATTTAAAACATAAAAGTGATTCGAAAAGTTTTCAAAATGCATGTGTAAATCGTCTTCAGCTGAAGATTAATATCCTCGACTCGGCTGTTTTTAGACAAAAGTGCTTAAAGACCACTCAAAAATCCGAGGTTTGTAGACACTTTTGACCAATTTCGCTTAAAGTTCAGGGTCCCAAAAAGAGGTTTCTGTGTTCTGGGGGCTGATGATTGTCAGAAAACGGCAGAACTAGTATGTAATATCGATCATTGTTTGCACTTTTAACGAGGAATTATTTGATCGCAAAATGTTCGCACTATTTATATAAAAGTATATGATAAGGCTATCATATTCATATGCTTGTTTTATTTGTAGGAGGTATTTTAGTTTTGAAGCAAATATTTGGCTCTACTAACGGTTACTTCCCAAAAGTATCCACTTCTTTTGTTATTGTTAAACACTGTCTAAAAAAGTAATGCAAATGAATAAAACATAAAATCAAAGGTGAAATGGTTTATTTTTAAGAAGTTTTATTGACTGAACAGTGTTATTTAATGTTATGATATATTCAGTGACGATGTGATTTGGTGAGGTATAGTATAGTAACTAGACTGCTAATTTTCATGATTGTTACCTAAAAATAGACTATATAACAACTCTTCATTATTGTCACCACAGTACAATTGTGTCTGTATTTGTTAAACTTAATTCTACTCAGTAAACTTTGGTGGAATTGCAATGTCGAAGCATAAATTGACAGACAATTATACAAAGTCTTGTCCATTGTTAATGGACTAACCCGGAACTCGCTACTTCGAAGAAATTTAGACGAGAAACATCCGCGTCAATTTTCAATACAAAGTCCAACTCACAACCAATTTTATTGTTAATATAATTATTTGACCATTGTTAATGATCTGGCCCGGCGCGCGCTACTTCGTAGCACTTGCCATCGGGCCATTTCGAGAAGAAAGCGGCGCGCGCTACTTCGAAGAAATTTAGACGAGTAACATCCGTCAATATAATTATATAATGAGTTCAGAGCTCTCAGGCTGGAAGGGCCATGAGTCATGGCATGACCACACTCCAAGTACACATGTTTTCGCCCCGCTCAAAATTTTGAGACTCCTATTTTAGTACTAGTAGTGTTCATCGCATCATTCATTGGCTTGATAATTGGTTCAGCAGAACGGTCTTATCTATGAATAAGCAGGAGGTGCACGATAAAATTAAACTTTCTCGGATTTTCAAAATTTGTAGAATTAGAATTAGAATTAGAATTGTATAACCAATATCTTTGGTTCCTGGAATAGGATTGATTTGATACATGTTTCGTATCCCAATATCAGAGATAATATTTTCCGCCTTCGGCGGCGCGCGCTTCGCGCGCGAAAAGCGGCATGCAACGTATGTCAAGGATTAATTCACGATTTGATTCACGATGTCAATCCTTCGCATCTCGTCGATCTGTGGTTGCGAGAAGCATTATTGGATGCGCGCGCGACCCAGTAGTGCATCGCGCTACAAGAATAGGATTATTATAAAAATTCGGGGAGACCTTCCGCGATTAAAGTTTAAAAATTTTTGGAAAAACTTGGTGGATATTGGAGTTGAAATAGTAATGAAAATGGGGCAACAGGTGTTGCTTTGACTTTGAGCTGTAACATAATGATGATTGGTATATGCTCAAACTATGTAGTTATCTTACTATATATAAAGCGAGACGATATATATGGTTCCGTGCCATTTTACTGACACCACGGCATCAACTTTAACGCGAATTTCCGCAAAAACCGTAAAAGATATACAACTGAAACTTTTTTGACTGGGCCAAATGCTTTAATGGCCTTCAATTCAGCATGAAAAAATAAAAAATTGGCCAAGGAATAGGAGTTTTAGAGCCCAAGATTTGGACCCCCAAGTGGTGTCAAAAACGCGAATTAAATAGGTAATAATTATTTTAGTCTCTTGAGTCTTGACACCATTTTAGGGTTATACGGGTTCCTGCTAGTATCTATAATAGTTGTTAATAAAGGATGATGATTAATCACTCTACACTCGACTGTCATGTCACGTGACTTTTTCAACCTATTCTCTAGCTGGCTCTGAACAACTATTCAAAACCCTAACCCTCTAAATCTAATCTGATCCCAACCCAATCCCTAACAAAATCAAAAGCATTAATTGCTGAAACCCTAGCCCGAACGAAAAATTTTATACCAACTTCCTTATACGGTCATAATCATATCACGTGATCAAAACATTTTTTGCCAATATCTTGCCAGGGAAGCATTTTATCATTTAACCCTATATAACTATGTCATGTCATGTGGTTGTAGCGCGATGCACTACTGGGTCGCGCGCGCATCAAATAATGCTTCTCTCGGTAGATCGGCGAGATGCACCACTGTGCCTCACCGAGCTGCGAAGGATTGACATCGTGAATCAAGTCATGTGGATTATGTGTTGTGGGGTGATTCGGAATCAGCGTCCGAAAATACATCGATTAAGGTTGGTTTCAACTGCAACTATAGGGGCCCTTTTAGAAATATCTCGGAGATCGAGTATGTAAGATGATTTAGGCTTAGCACGCTCGGTTAATATTAACGGGTGATGCTCGTAAAATAGTTGTTCCATATATTATATTATTATAGGACCGTCGACGAGTACAACTCGGCGCGCGTCCTACTCCTGGTAGGCTATAAACCTAAAAGGTTAATAATTCAAACCTTAGTTTTATTTTGGAAGATTAAATAATTTGATATTAAAAAGACTATTACATATTATTTAAGCAAAAAACACGCATGTAATATGTATATGGTTGCCAAGGAGTGTCATTTAAAAAATATGTTATTTTTAAATTACACTCCTTGGTTGACGTTGTATCACGTGGTGACCCCCACGGTCGCTTCACTATAGTGTCTTGTAGCGTCTTCGACGCTACAGGGGGAGCCGCGCACTTCGTGCGCGGCGGGTCATACAACGTATGACAAGGTTGATGGATGTTACTCGTTTTATAAATTTATTCGAATAAGCGCGCGCCGCTTTCTTCTCGAAATGTTATGGCCCGATGTCATGGGCAAGTGCTACGAAGTGGCGCGCGCCGGGTCAAACGCCTTGCCCACCGTACATGTTGATGTATTAAAAATAATTGTCCTGAAAAATACGCGTATTTTTTTCAAAATATTTAACAAGACTTAACTTTCTTTTTATAAACTAATTTTACTAGTGACATTATGTCACACTAAGTGACATGTCAAATAAAAAGAGCAAGGTAAGTAGATGATTGTGAGAGGAACCCTTGACGGATGTTACTCGTCTAAATTTCTTCGAAGTAGCGCGCGCCGCTTTCTTCTTGACCATTGTTAATGGTCTGGGCCGGCGCGCGCTACTTTGTAGCACTTATGCCATCGGGCCACTTGCCCATTTCGAGAAAAAAGCGGCGCGCGCTACTTCGAAGAAATTTAGACAAGTATACATCCGTCAACTTTCTTTTCGAAATATTATTGCTGATGGCATGGCATGTGCTACAAAGTAGCGAGCGCCGAGCCAAACCATTAATAATGGTTAAGTGGCAAAGGTTATGATTCTCACATCTCGAATACCCACTACTCCTAGCCGCGCCGCGTAAATTCGTTACACATACACATATTGTTACATATAGTTATACCATATACACGTACTACGTGTAACTGTAACATGATGTCATGATGCGCTTGTTTCAGTTTCACGCATGGCGGCGCGGTGTTCGCGAGATCAGGGTTTCCGTTGGACTTGGAGCAACGCATTAGTTTAACTTTTTCTTCCAGAATGTTACTCACTTACTGGGCGGCGTTCAGCCTGTCATTCCGCCGAATCTCTATTCATGATCATAATAGCCTGGGGTCCCCAGGCCAGGTAACCAGAATGAAGCGAGCCATAGACCGGCAAGCTGGGTGACGTAACTGTGATCAGTGAGGTAACTGTGATCAATGATGAAACAACTGTGTAAAAAAGTATGATTGTAATCACACTCACAGCTTCTCGAGAGTTCTGTCCAATTCAAGGTTAAGTTTGGATCCCGAGGAGTAATTCTAGGGCCTGTGAAATTATTTCCAGCGTTATTTTGTCGAGCAAAAACTCCCGGTCAGCATCGTTGAATGAAACTTTACAAAATGAAACTTTCGAAATTCGAATCATGAACTATCAAGATTAAAAATGGATATACATTATACATGTAATATAATTATATATATGACAACCGAACAATTTGAATAAAGTTTAAGTGAAGTAGTTGAACTAAAACAGTAAACACTAACAATTCATGAATAGGATTAATACTTATTGAAGATTGACTGTGGGCCATGGCGGGACAATGGGCACTTCCCTCTACAGCGAAAACGTCGGTAGTAAATGAAAAATATCGGTAGTAAAGAAAAGCATTAATGCAAACAAAGCTGAGATTCAATTTCCGTTTTCATCATAATTTCCATTTAAGATAAGCTGAGCAAAAGTACAATCAGAATTTTAAAATTCTTTTCGCTAAGCACAAATTGAAAACAGAACAAAACTTAACACTTCTAAGTTGTTAGTATGAAACTTATAGTTTTTCCATCTCTTTAACAAATTATCTTACGCTTATGATAATAAAGATTATACCATCGAGAGCGTTAAATACTGCATTAAACAATAATTAGAAATCGCATAAGTTCAATCTTATACAGTGTATGATATGAATTTTACATGGAAATTCTGAATGCATTTAACAGGAAGTTCGAGTAAAGTAAAATTAACAAATTATGCAAGTTAAGCTAAATTAATAAATTATGCAAAAATAACACAAAATAATCCCAGAATTAAAAGCAAAAGTAACATAATATCTGTCGTAATAGTAAACAAAGCAATAATCTCGCAGTTTATCTTATCTCATTTTTACCTGAATCTCATCTAAAAGATAACGTATTTATCGTGAGTCCACAGCGATTTCGTTTGTCAAAAACTACATTTTTACACCATTATAACAACTGATTATTCAAAACGTCCCCTGAAAAGAGCGGCAGCCCCAATTCCAGCAGACAGTAACCATAGCGACACATATCTGCTCCTTGGAGACGAGTTACACTCATGCGCGTCGTTACAGAGTGTTATCTGGCACTTGTCTCTGCGCGGGTTCTTACCGTACAACCGGTCTCCACATATCTCATCTGAAGATATTTTCATTATCTGGGTGCACTCTCTCTCTCTCTCTCTCTCTCTCTCTCTCTCTCTCTCCCCTCTCTCTCTCTCCCCCTCTCTCTCTCTCTCTCTCTACTACTCAGACCTTATATGGGTCACGACATACGATACTGGTACGTGAGTAGTTAAAATACTTTTTTGATAAACTTTGAGATATTTAAAAAACACTACTTGATACTGCAGCGACGGTTTGACAATATGAAAGATAATGTGTAACCATGGTAACGTACCATCTTCAAGCTGGAACCCGTCCACACATCCCCAAGCAGCCCAATAATACCCGTCCCAGTAGTAATTAACTCTGCGACACAGTATCCAGTTAATAGAAGCAGTATGGAGTTAATAGAAGCCGTAGAGCCATTAAGAATATTGTAATTTAGAGACGAAGGATCAATTCTTAAGTATCCATATTTAAAATAAATTATAATGATATCATTTATATCTGGATTGAATGAATATTTTGATACAGAAACGACAAAATAAGATATGACGTTAATTAACAGAATAAGTGTTCGAAAATATTACACCAGAAAACACACAACTGACAACACTGGTAACCATGACATCATTAGATTGGTAACCATGACAACAGTACACTGGTTACCATGACAACAGTACACTGGTTACCATGACAACAGTACACTGGTAACCATGACAACAGTAGACTGGATACCATGACAATAGTACACTGGTTACCATGACAACAGTACACTGGTTACCATGACAACAGTATACTGGTTACCATCACAACAGTAGACTGGTTACCATGACAATAGTACACTGGTTACCATGACAACAGTACACTGGTTACCATGACAACAGTACTCGGTTATACCACTATAATCAATAACCTGTAGCAGTATTCCTGATCCTGACACAGGTAAGTATCATTGCACTGCGTGTCATGAAGCTGCCCCGCGCAGTATCTACATCTTAAACTTTCCGCAACGTCTGAACAAAACCAATTATCATTTAATTAATCAAATAATTAAACATTTTTATTGGATAGTTTGATACGATAATTATATCATTACATCATTAAAATTGCACGAATATTTGCGACATTTTACTCATTTACTGCGAAATTTTACTGCTTTTCATGCTTCTCTCTATTGTGACGGTATTATTGCAGTGTTGACAATCTCAAGTTTTAAAAGGCTCACTAAAAAGTAGGAATACACAGAAGGTCGTCAGGCAAATAGTCCGCGTATTAACTTCCATCCTGCTAAATTTCTTTACGTCACATCCTGAGAGAGAAGAAAACTAGATTATTAGCATATTACCGGGGTAAGGAAATCATTAGCGTGTTCATGGTGCAATTAATTATGTCATTATCGAATATCCTAAATATTAATGCCATATATTGATATATTCGCGATTCCAAGTATTTACAATCACTATTTTACAATCACTATTAGCGATTAGAGAGTTAGAGAGATGAATTTGACACAATTGATAATTGCTGTTCCAGTTGGTGCGGCTTGGTTTTGTAGAAATCATGTCAATATCTTGCTATATCTTGCATACCGACCATAGCATTCGTGATTGTTAGGAATTAGGATTACAAAATTGATTTTTAGAAATCAGGAGATATGTGTCCAAAAACTACTTTTGGATTTTTAATTTTAATCGAGATTAATCCAAGAGGATCGACGTATAAATAAATTAAGTTTTTTAAGGTAACATGAAATAGCAGTGGGAATTGGAAAACGTGCTCATTTTGGAGTATATTTCACAAATAACTGTAAATAACCTGTAACCTAGTTGGGCTCCACAGTGAAAATGGGCTACGATAACTATTTTCCTACCACAGTAACACTTATTGACAACTTTCATTAAAGTTCAGAACTTCCGATCAATAACCACAAAAATGCACTGCGTTCTTCTGCAGATTGTTTTAATCTAATACAATAATGATTCAATTGGGAGAGAGCAAGAAAGTAGCTGTAGTTGTTTAGTCTGATAAATTGCATATCGGATGAAAATACTTTTTGACTCAAATTTGGTCGTTATGTCACTATACTACCACTATACTACCAATGTCGTATAACCACGTATCTATAATCACATTGAAGCTCCAAAGAAGAATTAGACTTAATCTATAATCAAGCTTCCCGTCTTCTTTTGACAGTTTGATATTTTTGGTATTGCAAAAGTGTCGCAGAGAACGTCACGATTGAAATCGATGACTGATCGTGCCTAGAACTAAGTGATGTTTTCTCTGAAGTATAACTTTTACAGCTTCTACAATTATTATAGGACAGGACGATTTTTTGGAGTGGTTTCATGAGCAGTAGGACGTTCAGTTGTTGGAGAGAAAATGTCCATGAGAATATAACCAAGGGCCCGGGATTTTGTGGTTCTTTTGAAAGAATCCTCATATTATAGTTGTACACTGTAGAAGTTACCGACAACATACATCAATTAACTTTGTGACAAATCAAAATTCTAAGATTTCTTACAATTTTTTAAAAATCACCAAAGACATGACTTTGGCTCGTCCTATTAAAAACTAAAGTTCGTTATAGCGCTGAAGCTAAATTAGAGAATTCTTTGAAATCTACTATTCATTCAGCTACTTATTAACTCTTATACAAATCTTGGCATTTTTTGTATTATATACTTTCCCTTGAAATGAGCTAAAATTAGTTAAACTATTGCTAAGATCTAGATATTAAGAGTGACCCTGCATGCAGTGTAATGGGTGGGATCTTATTATGACGTGGTTTAGATAATCTTGAATAACTGACGTGTGCAAATAACCATAATCACATTCTATTTATGTAGTATAACCGCATAATTACTCATATTCAAACCCATTATGATGTAAGAAAGTAGAATTAATATACCCATTTTAAAGCTGGTACCGCTTGGTGCTGTCCTTATCTTATTAAACGGACGTCTAAAAAAACTAAAATTACAAAACTGGTGAGCTCGATCATGTTGTGTCAAACAATGATTACTTGCTGCAGGTGCAAAGTATGATGTCTTTAGACGCTTGTACACCTGCAGAACATGATGTTATTGAAAACTTCACGTGGGCGCTGCGCGTGCGGAAGGTCCGCAGATTATATTTCTCCTCCCAACTCCTACCACTCCTAGCTAAATCACTGTCATAAGATTGATCATAGCCCAATCCTCTTAGATTTACACGTGATTTGAGTGCTGAACCCCAACATTTGTGGATGACAATATCCAGGGTACAGCATTACCTTTGACACAGAACGCTCGGAGCTCAAGACCAGCGGAATTACATCATGGACCATGGGTATCCAGTACAGAGTACAGTACGTGAACAGTAACTGTCTCCCAATAATGTGAGATGTCAGTGAGAGACGTTGATCTGGCTTCAAAACAGAGCACAGAGCCAAGTTCAACACCTAGAACTGAGGTTAAACATCGTTTATTGCAAATCTAGAGATTCTGGGTTCCAGAGAGAAGCACGGCAGGGGTCCAGAGGGGTATCGAGCAGGGGTTTAGTGATGGCATTATGTCACTCAGCTCTTTGAGGAGCGCTTATAAAATTCACACTTGGTGTTTATGAATTAAGATGACAGTAAAAAGAGTGTTTAAAGTTCCAGCTGCCAGAATTTAAATTCCAAAGGGAATCAATGATTCAGGTTAATTCGTGAAAACTATAAATTATGTCACATTCTTGGCAACTGATCCAGATCGACAGATGGGGGCTAACGACTGAAGCTGAGGAATCCGTTACCTGGCATGGAGCTAAGGAATCCAGTACTTAGAATTTTAGAGATGTCAGATCGTTAGAACAATAGAATTATGGAGATCGGAGAAACAAATGATTCGTCCGTTTCAGCTAATTTATAGGATTTTCAAACGCAATTATGGAATTTGCTACAATGAGACGTGTTTTATAATAATAGGATAGCTACTGCTAGAAAATATAGGCTTATTTTAGGAGTGTAAAGCCGAGTTTCAATTCTTTCTGATGATCACAATTCTGGGAAATAGCGAAATTAGATATCTGATAAATATCATTATCACTGGCTGGACTTTTCTGCGAAATCTGTTCGCGAACACAGAACTAATGCAATTGATTTCAAGACTAACTGCTTCACCACTCCTTATCTCTGAGTATTTCATTGAGACAAGGCTCTGATAACTTTTATATTTACAAACAACTTCATTATGTCTATAACTATTAACTAACTCCTATGTATAGATAACTAACGACGACACCAAGTATTTGTGTTACTAAATATCGATTATATCCGACTTGACCAACAGCGAGAAGATTACGCAAGTCTTGTTCGACACAAACAAGCAGACCGCCGTATCGTGTCAAATCAATTCTCACTTCTCCACCAGTAGTCCTCAGTGCTTTAGTTATGATAAATATAGGTGCAACAAAAGGTCAGAGCAACAACTAAGCTACCTGATACAGAATGTAATATATTATAAAGGAGCAACAAAAGGTCAGAGCAACAACTAAGCTACCTGGTACAGAATGTAATATATTATAAAGGAGCAACAATAGGTCAGAGCAACAACTAAGCTACCTGGTACAGAATGTAAAATATTATAAAGGAGCAACAAAAGGTCAGAGCAACAACTAAGCTACCTGGTACATAATGTAATCTACAGGACCTTGAAACTAGAACCAGGTGTCACCAGGTGCTGAAGATTGGAGCTACCATCTTAACGTGTGCAATGTTTATTATAGAGATTATGGAGAAAATGGACATTATTTTATCTTTGATCAGGCACTTTTGTTTTTGAGACGGGGGACAGGCGCAGGCAGGGCTGAAACCAAGGCCAGGCCCCAGCAGATCATTTGCGAATGGATATTATATCTATATAAAGAATGTAGATGTCTTTTTTCACTTTCGAATAATTCCATTTCCAGGTATTAGTAGGTACCTGGTACAACCATCAAGGTAAGATGAGCTAGAACGTGTATTCCAGTTCTACCAACACTTATTCTCTGATCCTGGACCTCGAGCAGTTTTTTCTTATTTTAAAAACATCCACGACTGGGGACAGTGACAGGATCTAATTTTGTCTGGGTCAGTAATTGGCCGGAAATTCCAGGAACTTGACCAGGAATTTGGCGATAGAGCGTTCAATTTAGAAGCTGATGTCAATGACCGACCATAAATCATCATGTACATATTCTGCAGAAGAAGAAATCAAGTAATTTGCTGCTGAGAGTGGTAAATGTCACAGATTTTTAGGGACCAATGTCTTAATCGTAAGATGGAATTTTTTTACTTTATATATTGTAAATGTATGAATATAACTATTCAATGTAATTGCAGAAAACGGAGTCGAGTAATCGAGAACAAAATATTTCCGGCCAAATTCTCGGTGAAAATCGAAAATTGGCCGGAGCCGGGGAAAGATATCCCGAACGGCGCCTAGAATCCTGGTCTATCACTTGTTCAAAATATTCTTAGCACGATTTGAACGATTTTTATCGATTCTGGCTTCTAAATTAGTCTCAAGACAAAAGACCTCTACAATTAGTTAATCCAAATATAGCGGAAAAACATGACCCAAATGCGGAATCTCTATTTTTATACTAACGACCTCAGTCATGCGAAAAATAATTTACTCCGGTGCCGCAAAAAATGTGAAAAATGAACGGATTGCATTGTCCGGTCCCACGCCTAAAATGACGTTCATCAATTATCATACCACTACAGTATCTCATGATTATCATAGACCCCTGTGATAATAACGATCTTTCAGTCCGGTCTACAAGGTTATAAATGACATTTAAAGTAACAAATTATACGATGTTAAAGTTAAACTATTAAGTATCTGCAGTCGAAATGACGGATTGAATGTCTGGGGGCACTTTCTTTAGAAATAGAGGGTTGCACAGCTACAACAAGACATTTTACAAACGAACTTTAAATCTGATCTGAGATAGTACAAAAACCTGAATATCAAAGCTTGAAACCAAATTTTAACCATTCGGATTTTGGATAGCTGGCGGTTTTGTGGTGAATTGTGAAGTTGGTAATGTGCTAAAATGTAATGATTTAAATATTCATACATATATTTCTTACAAAATAAACGATTGATTGGAACTCTATTAACAAAAGCCTGCAGAGAGAGAGAGAGTGAAAGAGAAAGCACCACAGTACCTCAATATCATAACGAAGATATTTTATTTTGTGCTCTACAAGTCGCATCTTCTACAATACACCAACTAAACAAAGGGCACACATCCCACCCAGAATGGTATAATTTGCCGCAGCTTCGCCACTAAAACTCCAAGACAATAGCGCCACGTTTTGAAATCGTGCTGCATGCTCGTGAAAAATGCAGATATCGTGTTTTGATGAAAGGCTTATTATGTGGAGAACTTCAATTGGGCAAAGATAAATGTATTTTGGAATAGATTTGTACCCCACTAGGATAAAAGATAAAACTTAAATACTAAAGCTATGATCGTTGTTGAAAAGAATAAAGTTAAGCTAAATGATGTGGTAATTTAAGAGGTAATGCGAATTAAGAAACAAATAACAGGTTCTAAGCGAGCTTCAAGATACTAAGAAACACGAGTGTAGTATACAATAATAATTCATCTCCGAACATCTCCTCCCCAATATTAACCGTTAAAAATCTCACCCACACCTAACCATAGCCCGGCATTAATCTTCAACCCTAAGCCTAATATATAATAATAATATAATATAACCCAGGAACCCTATGCTTAACCCAGGAACCCTATTCAAGATAGCAGGGGTTGAGATGTCCGGTCCCCGACAAGTATAAGAGTACAGGATGAATTGTACAATAATAATATGAATTGTATAGAGAACAGAGACCAATGCACGGAAAACAGATGCGTCCTGAAAGGAGAGACATAGAGGGAAGGAGAGAGAGCTCTCTACATAATGACATAATCATTTAATGAGTGCAGTGTCCGCACAATACACCTACATCCAGTGTGATACAGCTGCAGTAGTTGTTGTATTAAAGAAGCTAAGCTGTAAGTCCAATACACTACTATTATGATACAACTATATAATACAAGTAGAACAGAACACTACATAAGGCAGCTGTAAGAGTGTACATCACCAGATCACATAATGGTAACATGAGGCTGAGGAGTATAAGTAAGAGGTACCTTTAGTCCTGTGGTTACAGTTACAAGGGTAGCATGTTATAGGGGCAACAGCTACATGTTACCTGGGTAACAGTTACCAGGGTTACAAGGGGCTACCAGGGTTACAAGGGGTAACATGTTACCCGGGTAACAGTTACCAGGGTTACAAGGGGTAACATGTTACCTGGGTAACAGTTACCCGGGTTACAAGGGGCTACCAGGGTTACAAGGGGTAACATGTTACCCGGGTAACAGTTACCAGGGTTACAAGGGGTAACATGTTACCTGGGTAACGGTTACCAGGGTTACAAGGGGGAACATGTTACCTGGGTAACAGTTACCAGGGTTACAAGGGTAACATGTTACCTGGGTAACAGTTACCAGGGTTAAGGAAGATGTTACAGTACTAGCTTTGATACGGGGGTGACTCAATAAACAGTGCCCTGTTTACGTTTTGGGTCATCTTGACAAAGTTTTGTTACCAAGTTAACATTTTCATTAATTTCAGCAACAAACAATAAAATGGGAGCCTCTGACTCTGTGTACGTGTTTTTGAGTCACCCACCGGAGGAGTACAGGTATTATACCCAGGCTCCAGTATCTTGATCCTGATTGGCTGACTCGGACCTAGTACCCTGGTTACCCTGGCTACGCAGGTAAACACACACGTGCCGTACCGCGCGGCGGAGAACTGTGGTATTTGGACTTAGCCACAGTTTGACACTGACACAACTCCAGCCCAGTTCCAGGTATCAGCTGAGACTGCAGGTCGCTCGGACCCTTAAGTACGCCACGTTTTTTGCCATGTCACACGCATTGACCCACGTGTTACACGGGTTGTAACATGGTTACAAAGACAGAACCCACCAGCAGGGTCCCTCGCACGTGTAGGGAACATATTATACTCATATCTGGGTAGAGCTGAGACCGTGCACGTGTAGAGGACAGGGACCGTATTGGACTCCAATACTGAACAGAGCTGAGGCCTGGTCTCATGGACTTGACACCTGCTCTCCAAAACCTAAATAACACAGTTATAGAGCTCAAATATGCAAAAACTTGCAACTTTGCGAGACCCAGCTGCTGCATACCTACCCCTATAGATCAGACTTAAACAGATCTGACATTATCCTGGATCTGGTAAAACCTGATTAAATAAACCCTGTTTATTTCTCCTCACAATCAAATAGATCATCAGATATAATCAGATAGACCTAGTTAAGTTTTTATCTCCTCACGAGGTCGGATCAGACCCCAGACACTTGACTCACTTTACTCCTTTATAATATTCCTCGTGTCGCCACGCTTCATTACAGCACTATTCAGTGATCTTATCGCAGGAACGATGGTCCTATTTAAAAAACGCTGCATTTTTGCAAACAGCGTACCGGCTGATAGATGCAGACAGAGGGTAAACAAAAAGATAACTAAACTGCTGGCCATTAGTATAGTGACACCAAATACCGGGTACAACAAATCATAGGGCAGAAGTGCTGGTGAAATCGAGCGTTCAATCGGTAAATGATCATTGTTCCTTTACAAAGGAGTTCTTTTGTTCCTAGCTCATCTAACTTAAATCAACCAGACAGTTAGATCATGAATTGCACTTTACTCCTTTATAATATCCTTTATCGCTTGTAAAGTACCACCTTGTGACCATGATTTATCCTCAACACCAATAAGTTCCACCTCTTCAAAGACCCTTTGCTTGCTTCACTCGTCTCACAAACTATTTTCCGCGCGATCCTTAAGTTTTGCCGAAAAGATTCCGATAATACAAAAATAGCCCTGAGGTTATTTGTAACCGCAGTCCACCTCCTGTCTGCGCATGAATTCTATCGGGTAGCAATTACAGCTAGCCTAGGATCATTATACGAGGTTGCCGTGTCCATAAATATCTGGGCTATAAATAGAACTGTAGTAGTAAGAGTTAAGTACGGCTACCTCCACAAACCTCAAGTTCAGATCGTGGTGGTGATTCTCCACAGACATTCCGATGAGATGTCACGGTATTCCTGGCCGAGTTCTGACGGGACTGTAACCATGCCGACGTAACTTTTAAAACTCAGCGATGATATCAGGTCTTGTGTTCGTTATATCTCTTCCAGGTACGTCAAATGGCGATTCTTTGACGCAATAGTTGGAGTAATGGTCTTAAACCAGGAACCATTTCTACCTTGTTAAAATGTTTAGTCTCACAAAACAAATAGATATCGTAAATGTTTAAAAATAGAGCAAGTTTATCTCTGAAATTAGAAATCCTGGGAATTCAACAAAATTGAGAAACAAAGTTTCGACTTTTTAAAAAGTCAAATATTAAGCAGTTGCATTCTCGCCAGCTTGTTAATGGCGTCAAATACAATAGGTGACCAATTTACTGTTTTCATCATGTCAATTTCAGTTGAATTACGTAATGTATTCGGCGATAAGAAATAAGGAATCAGACAGGGAATAAAGTGAAAAGTAAATTGATCAAATAGAAATAAACCCCTTATCTTCAAAAAAAAGATATATAGTATATTGCAAAAGCTTATCTTATCGATATCGTCTAAATGAAAGTTCAAAGAAAACATTGATACTGAACAGTCATATGAAATTATCTATTAACTGCCAAATAAAATAAGTCAAATAAATATACTATACCATAGTTAGATATCACTGAAAACACTCTCATAACAAACTCACACGCATAAATTACTATGATAATCCACTCAAAACGTTCCTTAAGTACTAAACCTGAATCAGTATAAGTACCTTTCCATCTCCTAGAAATACAAACAATCGCTTTAACATTGTAAATTTACAAACACCACCGACCATGTCAAGTACAAAGCAAAGGATCAGCTGGGAGGTATAAGGATTCGTTCAAATGAACACTGGGTGCCGGGAGGGGGGTTCATCACCGGGAGGGGGTTCACCCCATTTAAACAGTTTATTCAAGAAAATCTCGAATATTTCAATAAAAAATGGCTGATACTGCATAGTTTAAGGTTAAAGGTGAGTACCCCCATCATGGTAGTTTAACTGAACGGTGGGGTCCCCAATAGCGAACTCCGGATCACAAGTGAAGGGAATGGTTATAGCGTACCGGACTCCGGAGGTAACTCTCTCCACATGATGAGGGTTCTCTGTTCCGCTTGTGAAGATACTGACCCGACCTAAGGAGGTATAGAGTAATGTTACAGAAATAATTTTACAGACAAAACTTGCTGCTATTTTGAATCTTGCAGCCACACCCCCCCCCCACCCCCTTCCCCTACCTTAATTCTTTCACAAAGGCTGGTTACAAAATAACGCTTCCCTCCTCCTCCCCCTCTAATGGTAATCTACATACAGATTACAGTTGAATGTTTAAAAAATAATTCGCTGAATCCGAAGAACAAGATTAAGGCAATTGCTTTGAGTATTACAGAATCTCCATAAGAATGACGGAAATAATTCAGCCTCTTTGACGGCTGGTGGTCTTTTTACATTAGATTTTGAGAAACTGAAATCTAAACCATCCTTTTCTAGACCATTCGGGTACAAAATATCCTTGCTCAGCTCGTAGCTGAATCCACAGGAATCATTTAAACTTTTGTTTAACAGCAGCTCTGATTTCGAGTGATCAGTTTGTATGAAAATAATATCTTTTATATCATTAATTACAGGCTGTGCTGGATTAGTTTATACCAACGAGCTTGTAGTTTGGTTTTATAAATATAAGATTGAGGGGAAACTTGAAATAATAAGAAGTCTAAGATTTAGACCCCAAGTATGGTCTGATAACTACTGAGTGCCTAAATTCCAGCCAGATATCAGACGAAAGTTGCCATATTATGTTCGTGCAGACCGCCTGTTGTTTTGATAAAATTACCATGAGACCGATAAGAACTGTATAATGAAATCAGCACTCAGCGTACTTTTACGAGATAAAATGATAGGAATTAATGTTGAACTGCCTTCTGAAATGGTAGCTGAAAATATGATAATTATGCCAATTTAAGATTACATTTTCAAACCATTTTTAAAGGCACGGGAGCAGCATTTTTAAAGGTCATGAGATTCCTAAGAATGGTCTGGTGACTAGCCACCAATTGTAGCAGACAGTGAGAATATTATCGGGTAATTTGATTGTAATTGATCAATTAGTATAACAAAGCCACCCTACCTCAGTCAAGCGGAATTCATTCCCTTTTGCGGCAATGCAGCCAAAAATGGATCGAAATTCCTATTACCTTAGACAGATGGGTTGTTATGCCGATAAAGTGACGTGAAAATAGGATGTTTGATAAATTATCAAATTTTTGCAATATCTTTATTGACGATTGGTGGTGATAAGTAGTGGACTAGACGTAAGCGTAAGGTGTGCTGCTAACTTGCGATTAAATTAATATTAACGATAATGTACGTATTAAGGAAACATTTTTTCGTCAATTATGAGCGCCTGGCTTGCTCCAGGAGTCCATGCAAAGATGCCATGAATGCCATTATATTGTTAGTTTCATCTGGACAGATCAATACTGGTCTACATTATTGACAGCAGTGGCCCGTAACCAGGTCTTTAGTGCGCCGGCTGAGTCTAAAATACCAGACTTAAAGCAATCACCGTACAAATCACCATCTTAACATTAAACATTTAAATTCTTCTCCCGTCCAACCTTCCAGATCAACAAACCTATCCCCTTATCAGCGAAGAAACATGTTCCAAATACGGACAAACATATGATTTATTGCAACAACCGTCACATTATTGACATCCCAACAAACAGCCGTCATAGGCCTGTCAGCAGGTATTTTGTTCTGACAAGCGGACACGATCTGAGATTCTCACGAACCAGGCACGCGTGGGTTGCTATGGTAACACCAGGCACGCGTGCAGTGTGAGGGAGGAAACGGACTCCAGTCACACTCTAATGGTCACACTATTAACAAACCACTCAACCCTGTAACAACCTTTCTATTTTGGGAGAGTTTTGCAGGTGTTGTAAGACGACTATCAGGTCAGAATATGACTTTAGTTTTACGTAGAGAAGAGATTGAGAATACTTTTAGGATTTTCTGTAGATTTGATGGTGGACACTTTTCCGGGCTCAACGATTAAAAATCCTTTCTTTCTTTCTATTCTTAGACGAAAAAAAGGACGTTGAAAGCACGTGCCGACTGCCGACCCGAAAGGGAGACTTCTGGTCGGAATGTTTGGGCTTTGAGGGCGAAAAGAGCGAATTCCCCACTGTCTCTTTAAGACACAAAGAAAGTAGTTTTAGGGCAATCTGTGCAGGCTTCAAGTCGGTTTTTTGGCATTTTCGTAGAGGAGATAACTTAAGTTTTAAGATTGGAGAGCGGAAATTCTTGCAACCGAAACAAACCTAATTCAAATTACACTAATCATTTGGTCGGTAACGTGTTTCCGGTTTTATGTGTTACCGGACATAAATTTGTAATTAAAATTCTTAATCCAGAGCTCAAACTCGCTGCTTCACTGTCTGCAATCCAAAAATACCCCCTGACATGGCTATTTTTAGTAACAGTAGATATAGGCCCTTATCTTGCCATTAATAACAGCAAGTCCTGCAAAATAATTTGCAAACTTGCATATTTTTAGATCTAAAAATGAAAGCTCAAATCGAGTCTTCGTTGTCATATTGCTGACCATCGACGGATCCAAACAATATCATTATTAAATTGAATTTTTAAAATTATTGAACTGAAATTTATTCAATTAAAACCTTCGTCGGTGAGATAGGACCAAAATATCGACAGTTGCAGATTGGTACCCTAGACTAATCCAGGACAGACAGAACCCGAATCCAGACATAGTCAAAAGATTTGCCAGACATAGTCAAAAGATTTACCAGACATAGTCAAAAGATAGGTGGTCAGCTTGGGTACGAGGCTGTGGCACTAGATACCAGTCCCGAATAAATTTCAAATCCCTTCGACATTGTCAGCGTCGATTGTTTTCCATTATGATTTGCTGATACGTAATTATCGAGGCACGCATTATTATATCTTAATCCTATAGTGTGTCGCAACTTCCTGACGGTAATTTCCGTTGGTGAAAGACTAAAGTAGAAGTTGCGGTGTTAATGTTTACGTAGACAGCGCCTTCCAAGTAGCTTCATTTCAGATCATTTTGAGAGAGCCCCTATAATCAAATGTACTATATGGAGACTAGACCAGTGTGTTACCATAGCAACCCACACTAGACCTGTGATAAAAGGGTGATGACGAGAGTTCCGGTTAGACTTCCGTTAAACATGAACAACAGGAACTGCGAAATTGTAATCTAATGATTCCTGCACGGTAATCCAATTCATGGTCTATTCACATTTCACACTCCAAAGAACACTTATAATATCCCAGGAAGTGGAGACTCATATCAACAATAGGAGTGAAAAGCTCACATTACCGTCACATTTACCCAACATTAGCATACCGTATTTAATTAGAAACTCGTGCTATTTAGCAAATCGGCCCTGATATTTACCATGGATCACTTGCCACCACTAGTGGGGTGTCACTGCCATGCACCCACTTCCTCCTACTCCCACGACTTGCTCCCCTCCTCTCTCTCTCTCCCCCTCTCCTGCTCCCCTCACTGTCAGAGGAAACACTCATTACGCAATGGCTAATCCTGGCGTGCCGGCGGCATTTGTATCGTTTGTAGTTGTTGAAGTGCTTGACGTATAGCGGTCCGGCTTCCACGTATAACGGAACGTGACGTCACGTAGCGAGGAGCATGAAGACAGCAGCTCAGTATTTAAGGGGATGGAAAGTTGGGGATGGTATCAAATCTGCCAGCTCTCCAACTTTTCGGAATAGTAACCACCAAACTCGATACTCGTTTTACTTTTATTAACTCGTTTGTTAAACCTACACTAAAGATATTATCATGATGAAGTTCTTCTTTGCATTGTTTGCCGCTTTCGCTACCCTCTCCATTGTCAACTCTCGATCCATCAAATTAGGTTGGTTATTACTCAGTTATTTAATATATTTTAATTACAACTTTGTTAACATGCCTCTAGATATTAGTTATTGATTGGTAAATGGTTGGCTCTTTAGTAACCGGCTCTTTTGTACGAACGATAATAATATTAGTATGTCGAATAATACAGTAAAGCCATGCAAGGATTTAGAGCATTCAGGAGTAACATGAAATATACAACACTAGAAATCCAAGTAATCCACTAGATCAAAGTAGCAAACAAAATACTAACCACTAAATTATTTCAGAAAATCCCCGAACTGACAGCGATAACACTGTGACAGCCAAGAGAAGCCCCCGATCGATTGAACTTGAAGGATCATTCCCCAGCCTTATCGAACAAAAATTAGGTACGTAATCTTGTTCTGTATTTCACAATCTACATGAAGATATGGATAGGATTTCATTACACAATTGAATGATTATTGAACTATAATGACCGTAAACTTTGGTAGCTCAGCAGAGGTACCCAGTCTACTTTTTTTGATCTTTCGATCCATTTTATCTGTTCAAATTTAAACTCTCTAAATCCGATTACTAATCCTCACATTTTTTCAGCTGAATTCGAACTCATGGGAAACACTATTGACGAAACCTCTGCCCATCTCCAAAAGAGATCAACCCTGCACAAAAGACGACACCACCAGAGAACCACTAAAGGACACCCCAAGAGGCACAACATGGCCGCATTCTTCTACGTCCCTCCTAACGGCAAGTAAACTAAAGAAACTTCCAGAACTTTCTAGAACTAAAAGAGATTTCTAGAAACAAAACGAACTGCTTGAGCCGAGCGCACGTTTTTTTACGTTGTGGACTCATTAAATTAAATATCGAACGCATTGAATTTTACGAGCAGCTATCCTGCTTTTGACTAACGATTTTTTTAGATTTAGGTTGATTTTTAAATCCCTGTTTAAACTAATTCGCTTTGTTAAGAGCACAGGATAAATGTTCAGTTTTTTAAATTGTCGGTTGAGGCCGACGATGATCCTTATCCGGTTGCTATGCAAACCAAACCAAACCGATAAATTTTAACAATTGTTATTTATTTCGTGTTGATCAAACTTAAATTTTGCTGGGTACCGCATGAGGGCATTTATTATTTAACGATTTTAAGAACCAATTTGCTAGATAAATCTGTTTATAAGTCCGATTATAAGCATGTTTATTGTTTATATGTCCAATTATAAACATGTTTATTGTTTATAAGTCTGGTTATAAACATGTTTATACACACTGGATGTTTATATAGTGTTATTCCCAGGTTGCCAGGGCAGGGTAATTTGTAGACCTCCTTGTAGAACTGGCGATGCTAAGTGCCGCTGCCTCTGTCTGCCTATTGCCTAATCCATACCTGAAAAAGCCTAGTCCATACCTGAAAAGCTAGGTGTATTTGTTGCCTTGAACTTTGTCATTTCTTGAATGTCTGGTATCAGTAACATAAATTTGAAGGCCTGTTTTTAGGGCATTTTGGAAGCTAGTTTAAAGGGCATTTTGAAAGCTTGTTTTTAGGGCATTTTGGCTGAATTGAACGCATGCTGTTTCGTCACCCCACAAGAATTTCAGCCAAAATGATAAAAACAGCCGAAAAAGCTGACTTGGGAATATGCTAGATTTATTAATTAATTTTGATGTTTTGAGAAGATATTAAGTTATTAATTATTTATTTAGATACATATATCGATAATTTATTTAGATATTTAATATACAAAGTATTTATGTGCACGGAAAAAAATCGTGATGTGAACAGATTTCGAACTTTCGTTTCAAAAACACACATTTCGTAATTGAAAGTCTTGTACTCCGTCAGCAAGGTTTCTACACAGTTTCCTGCTAACTAAGATTTCTAAACCTTACAAAACTTGAAATCAGTCCAGCGCGATACCGCACAAATCAAAGGGGATGCCCCACTCGGGGATTCCACTCTGATTCCGAACATATTTCTTTGCTGAAATCTTCTAGATTGCAAGACTTTTAACGTATCATCTAGATATTTGTTCGCTTCAATGTTGATCTACATTTTAAAAGTTCAACTGCATGAGTACTTAGTAAGTCAAAGAAAACGTAAAATGAGAACAATGTTGTCTATTATTTACACGTGTATTCTTTAGCTTAATTTAATTTTATACACCAGAGATATACTGTCTTTTATTTCTTAATTCTACAAGCTTTTCTGTGAGAAAAAGCCAAAATCAAAACTAGAGTTCCAGTTATGTTGAGTGAGACAGAATGTGCAATATAAAATTATTAGGTGTGGTTTTTAAGGAATTTAGGAATTTAATACCTTTAAAATTAAATTCTACAAAAAGAGATTACAGCATGTCAATTGCAAATGGGCCGGACTATGCAGGATGGTTCCGTTATTAACATTTGCACTCTAACTTTAGGCCACCCTGTATCGTAAACTTGATAATACCGGCTAAATCGTCATAGTGCGATTAGCATGAGCAGGAATGGGAGCTTTTTCTAGCAGATAACAAATAATAAGATAAATTTCATCGTCTATGCATCTGGATTCTGCAGAAAGTTAAATCATAGCGGCCCCAAACAATTCACGAAGATTACCAAAAGGTTTAGTCTGCACAAATTTCTCACGTGTACTCAGTTGCTTCAAATACTTATCTACAATTTAGGACTCATCAAGTTCCAATCTCAAAGGGAGACCTCCGACTTCAGGACTACTTCCACTTTTGTCCAAATTACATAATTAATAAAATAATTTACATAGTTATCTCCGTTCGTGTATGGTTAATTATTCTTCTAAATCAGAAAATGAGTAGTGGATAGATCAATAATTTTTCTCCTGTTAATAAAGAATGAAAATAATTCTCTTACGTAAAGAAATTGAAACTTCAAACAAGAAATTGAGAATATTACAAACATAGTTTAACAAATACCACTAATAGTAAAATGCGATTGTAAGAATTCAAGATAAAGATAAAATAACTCAAAACCGATAAAAACCACTTTTCATAACTAAGGATACTACTGGAAAAGTACTAACTACTATTCGGAAAATATAGATAACTTCCGAGAAATCAACACATTGAACAGTCGTCTCAGGGCTGGAATTCAGTCAAATCCTAATCGAGTGAGCTTTGATGTACCGATGAAAAATAACAATAGGGTTAGTCAAAACAATTGCGTCAGAGGGAAAAAATCAGTTTAAGTTTCGATGAGACTGGTTTATGATTTATTTCTCTTCTGTGCTGGATCAGTGACGTCACTGCCGAGTCGGTGACTTCACTGTCAATCTTTAAACAGGGGTAGAAGCAATCTTGAGGTTCCCCACTCTATGGTCCACTCGAGCTGTAGAGCTAGTGAACTTGGAAGTAGCCAGCAGTTTGTTCAGGCGAGTAGGTGTCGGCTCTTTGCTGCAGGAACCACTGATCCACCCGAGCTTCTTCAATGCGAACCTCCTTACAGATCTCAGAGACAAGCAGTAGATGGGGAAGTTAGCAGCACTGTTCAAAAAGGGAGAGAAATAAGCAACTTGTCGCATCTCCTTCACATTATCCAGCTTGAAGACGAAGAGCAGGCCTAGTGGGAGAGCACAGACACAGTAAACCCCAGAGATGAGAACCACAGCAAGAACAGCTTCCTTCTTTACCTTGTGGCGTCTGTTAGCTAGCACTAGGAGGAGGGTTAAAGACACAGTCACAGCAAGGGCAGGGAGGAGGGTTAGGAAAGTAAACTCTGCTACCTCCAGATAGTAGACAGCACTGTGTCCGTGATCAGGCTCCAGGATACACATGTACATGCCGTCATGTTGGTCAAAACTTGACATGTTCTGTAAACCGATGGAGATGAAGATTTCTGTCTGGAAGCCAATAATGATGGCTATGACCCACATGAGGCCCACGATGGCGTAACCTTTAGCATGAGACCAGGTCTTGGCATGGAGTGGGTACGTTACCAGGGCTAGCTTTGACAGGGATAGAGCAAGGATCATGTTGAAATCTGCAAATGCAAACACTTCTTCAAACACCTGTGTTATCTTACAGTGGAGATCCCCGAAAATCCACTTATTGTTGAAGATAGCCAGTATAACTGGTAGGTTGACAAAAAGAGAGAAGCCCAGATCCGCGAATGCTATGTTGTTGATCAGGGCCCTGGAGACACAGTTGAGGCGGATCATTTTACACTTTAGGGAACCGTAGAGAGTGAGGATGCTTCCAAGCAGGGCAAAAAGAAAGGTCAGGACACACCAGCTTCCCAAAATAACCCGCTCTACGATGTGCGTGTTCTTCTCTTCTGTCTGGTTAGAGGCTGCAGCGTTTTCAGAACGGAGCAACATCATCGGGATATCAAGATTTGAAGTGGTGCCAAGATCCCACACTATTGAGCTAAAACCCTGGTGGCTCGGAGATTTGTCTCGTTTTAATGATGACACCCCAAATTCTGTGTTTGAGAAGCTCTTGATCTCCGAGCCACCAAGGTTTTAGCTCACTAGTGTGGGATCTTGGCCGGAGACAATATCAAATAACAGGAAAACCTTCATTTCGACATCCGGGCATCACAGAAGCCGAGACGAAATTAAACCAGCTAAAGTTGAAATGATCTTAAATTTGCGGTTCGTTCTTATTCTATTTCTTAGATAAGGTCAAAACAATAAAACGCAATTTACAAGTAAAACTAAAATCCATATTTAAAATATATCCAATAATATTTTCTTCTCAGCAGTTGAAGCCGCTGGCAGTCCAAAACACGTGACATCTATTATCAACCAGCTCTTTTGGGGTAATATCCGCCACCGTTACTAAATCAACATAGCCTTTATAAGTAGCATACACATAGACCGCTGGGCATTTATAACCTATTACTGTAGCAGTGAATACTGGCGAATCTACAAATCCACATTCTTCAAAATGGATAAATTTGTTTCCTTTTCCCGTCCAGTTGACCCATACTTCAGTTTCAGTAGATACACCAGAGCACATGATAGCACATGGTGGGGGACCAGTCTTACCGTCAATAGTGCTCAGGATCTTTACTTCACTCAGAGTGGGTGAAGCTAACATCAGACTCAAGAGGCAGATTAGAAGCAACATCTTGGAAACCAAAGGAACAAACTTCTTCGAGAGATTTTTGAAATCAATATAAATAATCATCAGAAATAATGGCTATAACTCTACTTTTGTGTGCGGTGTTTGACAGACACACTAAGTGAGCATTACCTAAAGCGGTTTCACAAGTTTTGACATGGACCAGCTGTTATTTGTTGGACAGAAGGTTTATCATATTAGTTATCGTAAGAAGTGTGATTCACAGAGTAATAGCGCATCTTTGTAACTTTGTTTCAACCATGATGTAGACCCTGAGTAGTGCGTAGCAGCTGTCTTATCCCCAGTGACAGGTGAAGAATTAACGAGTGTTACAGAAACCGTAATTATTGAATGACTTTATTAACCATTCATTTTTACCTTTTCGTAGTGGCAAAATCCGGATTTTACCTACCACGCCTACGCAATACTATACTCTAATATCTTGTTATTTTAGCAAACTTAATTCTGTACAGATAATTGGCAGTCTTAACGCAGGGTAAACCTTAGAGCTTGGTGTCAGCGTTAAGATGAGAAAATATCAGATTTCAGATTCATTTTAACATCCAGGCATAACAGAATCCAAGACGAAATTAAGTTAAAATGATCTTAAGTTTTGTGGGCCATGTATTTATCACATAAGGTCAAAACAATAAAACGCAATTTACAGGTAAAACTAAAATCCATATTAAAAAATATTCAACAATAATTCCATGTCAATGATGGGTTGTTTCTTCTCAGCAGTTGAAGCCACTAGCAGTCCACATCACGTGACATTTGTTATGGGAGAGATCTATCGGTGCAGCATCTCCCACTGTGACTAGGTCAACAAGGTCTTTCTTAATAGCAAACACGTGGACGGCGGGGCATTTCTTACCTATCATTGTAGCAGTGAATACTGGCGAATCTACAAATCTGCACTTTTCCATATGGATCCATTTGTTTCCTTTTCCTTCCCAAGCCCGCCATGCTTCAGTTTCAGTAGATACGCCAGAGCAGGTGGTAGCACACGGCGGGGGACTGGTCACTTTAGGATTGTTAGGGGAGCTCAGGATCCTCATTTCACTACTCAGAGCGGGTGAAGCTAACATCAGACTCAAGAGACAAATTAGAAGCAACATCTTGGGAGCCAAAGGAACAAACTTCTTCGATATAGATTTTAGAAATCAATGTAAATAATCATCAGAAATACGAGAAACTCTTCTTTTATATGCGGGATCTGGCAACTCTTAAGTGACAGTCCCGACTAATGATGAGGATCCTGTCTTTTATCTAGTGATAGGTGGACTTGTGAGATCTATCTTTAGCGGTTTTACAAGTTTTGAAATGGACCAGCTGGTGGACAGAAGGTTTATTATTTGAGTTATCGTAAAAAGTGTGATTTACTGTAATTTCAAAGTTATAGCGCATCTTTGTTTCAACATTGATGTCTTTTCTTCGAATAAAACTTATCTGTTTCTCAATAAAATACAATGACGTGGACCCTGGGTAGCAGCTGTATTCTCTGTAGTGATTAGTGGAGAATGAAAAAGTGTGAGGTGTTACAGAAACTTGTTGAATCACTTTACTGATAATTTTTCTTTGTCTTTTCAAAGCGGAAAATACGGATTTTTCTACCACGCCTACTCAATACTCTAATATCCTGTCATTTTAGGAAACTTTTAGCAAACAACACAATATCTGAGATGGTAGATCTTAGTTCCTAGTCAAGTACTCAGGTATGAACTTGGCCATGGTTAGGGAAGTATAATCTGTACCACATTTTGTGGAAAACATATCACGCGGATTTAAGGTTTTTCTAAAGTTTATATCACGTCTAGATCTAAAAGCTACTAAAACTTGTATTACTCCAGTCTATTCGGTGTTCAGTCGATTTACATCGATATTGTTCAATGTTTGGAACGAATACAGAAACTTCATCTTCAAATAATGAAATAATGTTCTATGTTAGCTCTAATGTCAAAAACGCTAGTAAAACGTCTCCAGCAGTAATCACCAATACCTCATCTACTCACTCCCAAGGATTATCGGCTTCATAAACGCGAGGAAACGACTCACCAAATGCGGTAAAAACTAAAAGTTTAACTTTTTTATACAAATTTTACCGGGGTAAGCACAGGGCTCAAATGCTCTATCTTATAGTTGCCATCTTAACTATGATCACAGGAGAAGAATAAGATCACCAATACTTCAGATTGGACTTATTTTTTCAGAAATAAGAAAAGGTAAGCCAATACAAGAAAGAAAATATTGGTGAATAGATTGCTCGATTCTGGAAATCTATAATTGTAAAATGGACGACAAAAATTGTGTTTAAGTCTAAGAGGCTTAAGTTAGCTATAATTCTTATTATGCTTAAAATCAAGATACAATTTCTGATTTTAGTGTGTAATTATCACCGTTTCGTCTTCTCGTATAAAGAAACAGCAAAAATGTATCTCCATCGTCCAATTCATTTGAACAGTCCTAGTCGACTTAAACATGTAAGATGAACAAGGGTTAACCAAACGTACCTGCTTTAGGGTGGACGGTGTTGTTGAACCCAGGAGCATCGAACATAAACCTGCCCCCCATAAAGTCAGTGGTGTATGTGTTGAGGTAGAGCAGGGACGTGTAGTGAAATCTGTCGTACTGTTCCTGAAACCAAACAGTGTGAGAGGCAATTGAAAGGACAACGAAATGTTTTGGTTTGGTTTGGTTTGGTTTCAAGAGCTTATACTTGCCACGTATGTCCAGGTTCATTATAATAATGCAGGACTTCTAGGCAATGAGCTTGGTTGTGGGACACACTCAACTAGGGAAGTTGAGAGGCCTCAATCAAGTCTCATTAAAGAGATATCAACAGAGTGTGAACCACTGCCAGACTTACCTTTGATTAGAGTTTGCCAGGCTCTATAAGTGTGGCAGATAGTGTCTTCTTTGTCCTATCCTTTGTCCGTGATGCTGGTAACAAACTCTTGTTGCAGGTGATGGTGACATAAACTCATTTGCATGATTGGGTCTAGAGATGGGTCGATTGTGAAGTGTGCTATATACTTATATAAAAAGGTAGTTGTGATAAATAGTACAGCTCAGTACCGTAATTATAAAACCATTATCTGAAAACTTGTCTCAACATAGAAGATCTAAATGACATGAGGTCTAAACTGGGTCGATTAAAAGTGAGCTACAGATTAGCGGCTGGGAAAAACAAAGAGATGGAGATTAGTGATTAATACAGGTAATCAGTACATGTGCTGAGTGAACGTATGACAGACCGTAAAATCGGAAGATTAACTGTTAATGACTAAAACACCCTAGAATTAAGTGCCACAACCATGAGGTTATAAAGTAAAGAGGGTCTATATAGACTACTAGAAGATAATAAGTGGGCTGAAGCTAATAACTGGTTAACTGGTCGCAATAGAGAATGAAACATATCACAACAAAGAGGGACAAATTGTCGAGAAAAATTAAAGTATCCGGTAAATATCACTATTCTGGGTAACTCGTGATGTAGCCACGTGTTAAGAATTCCTCGTGTAGGAGGAGGTAGAATAAATAAAGTAGTGCAGGTAATTATCACGATGCTGGGTAAACGAAATGTTTACTTGTATTGATTCATCCAGAAAAGCTAAATAAAAGAAACTTACCAAATAAAATTTCTGAATCATATAAATTATACGTATGCGCGCGCGCATATATGCAATAAATAATATAATAAATTAAATAATTAAATAAATTAAATGTCAATGTGCCTGACCAGCGCAGCAAAATCATTAAATAAATCTTCGCGCCTTCCATTTAAGATAATTTGAGTCACGTGACCAAAGTGCTGGAGGCTCTGCACAATTCCACGTTCCTCTAGAACTGCTGAGCTCCTTGAACATTCCAAATATCGAGAGATACTTACTGTGTCAGTGTGAACGTGCCAGTATTCATCATGAACTGTGGTTGGAGGCTTGTCAGTCATCCGGGAAAAGAAAGTTGGTTTCGTCAGCTTTAGTTTTCCAGTCTTTATCTTCCACTTCTTTTCTATTTCCAACTAAAATTTGAAATTATTATTGAAATTTGAAAGCGATTGAAGAAAAAGGACATCAACCTTCAGCCTGGAGTACTTTAAACAAAATCAAACATTTCAACAATCCAATTACTATAGAGCTATAGGATGATCTGTACCTGTATTCGATTCTTGACAGAACGGTACAATTTAAGATCTTCGTAGCTAAATAACTCCGTTATACCGTTCTTGTTAGCCAGCCTGGAGTATTGAAATTTACAAGAGAATCTAAAATAAGCGGTTATGGGAAGATCATGTTATCAAGCAAGATAGTGGTGAACTATTAGACTGGAAATACGTAAAACAGTTGTGTCAAGACCATTATGTGAGTAAAACAGGGCAGACTCACAATCGTACATCAGCGAACTTTGTTCCAACAGATATAGCTCCACTGTGTAGATCTAGTATAGTAGCCTAGAATAAGAAGTAGACTATTAGATTAGTGAGAATTAGAGCTGACGAAACATATATGTACAGTTCGGGTTTGGGAATATGACATGATAATATGTGTATGGGAGTACAGTGAAACTGCCAACCCCGGACCAGTTAGGAACCGTTGACACAAACATCAAATATCCGGCATGATTTTCAAAAAATTGCACCTATTTCCGGCACCCAAATTATCTTAGCATCAAAATTTCGGCACTTTTTGCAAAAATTCGAAATTTTCCTGGTCCGAGTTTTATTTAGTCCGGAGTTTGCAGGTCCGGAATTTGACGTTTCACTGTATCAATTACAAATTACAAAATCAATTACAAATTACAAAAATCTTACCCCACCAGAACCACCGCCCAGTGCCATTCCCTTCTCAGCAATAGTTATGAGTTGCTTTGCTTCCTCTGCAGTGACAAGGCGATCTAACACCATTCTCCCGCACCTCACTGCCTCGCATCCTAAACAAATGTTATTGTAACTTCCGACAAATAACATAACATATTATAGATCTTTAGATAGAAAACAATATTTACCTGTCTGTCTGGTGGATCCATAGTGGAAATGCGAATTCAGAATTAATTATTAGGATTTCAGGAGCCTCTAATTTTTACAAAAAGCCTACGTGACAGCTATTTTCATACTTGTTGCCCCCCCCCACCCCCCACTTTTTGTTGTTGGGGATGCCGGTCTCTGGTCTCAAATAAATAGTAAGCCCTTCCGCCAGATTCCTGGAATACCCGAATACTGTCAAATTTAAAAGATCCACAAAGTTTCCGTAAAATTTTATGAAACACCTGCCACCTGGTAAATGGTAATACCGCTATCATCTTGATCTTATTTATGAGCAAGTCAGACATAAGTTGACAGTCGACAGAGCAAGTCAGACACAACTTACCGATGTGTTTATAAATTCATAACAAAAACGATATAGGAGTGCAAAGTGCATGAACCAATTAGTATCCAGCCAATCAGCTAATTTCTTTGGTGGCGACGCTGATCCACTATCCAGGGGCGGAGCAGACATGAGATTAAATAAAATACCACGATCGTAAAATTTTAAATATTAATCGGAGTAATGGTGCATATAACGTCTTAACCAGTCAACGTATATTAACAGAATATTATAGGAGAATTTTAAATCGGTTATATTTCTGATATTTCTGAGATGATTCTGAAAGTAAAGGTTTGAAGTCCCGTTTATCTTTGAGCCATGCTTGTTTTTGCATAACGGATACAATATATTATATTAAACTTCAGATTGTTCCATATGTAATATACCATGGTACAGAATCAAACACATTACAAATGTAAACGTGCCTCCAACATACATTTAATACTAAACAATTTAATACCTTGAATACTAAAAGAGATAACAACATACCAGTGTACTCGACCTTATGATCAGGTGAGCAGGGCAGCACCTGTGTTACCCCCGCTGTTCCCACAGTACTATTCCACAGAGCCAGATCCATGACATGAGGGTCCTCCTAAAGATAAGATAAGATTTATGATAATGCCTCTTACCTCTGGGCATCTCATACAAGAATTCTTCAAAACTGTAAAATTACGTTTAAAAAACTAACCAAATTGAAAATACAAAAGAACCTGAGAGCTTCTAAGCTAGAAATTTGTATTCTTTAATTAACAAGTCCTTCCAAATTTACCTTCCACAGTGGTTGTAGCCGGTACATGATGGCCGCTCCCGCGATTAGAAACGTGACTATGATCCGAGGGAGACTGATGATTACTGCTTGTGGACTGTCGTCTGGGGGCGAGCTGAAGTTGTGAGGAAGTGTTACAGTGTTACCTGCTAATATCACGTGACCTGGATTACAGAGGTGTTCTAATCATGTGACTTACTTTAATAAATCAGGGAACTGTGATACGATTATGCCAGGTATTGCTATCTGAAAACTATCATTAAGTTGCGTTTTGAGGTTTAAGTGCGTCGGTACTCGGTACTGGTACCAGTATCTGACAAGGACCAACCCACCATTTCCCAGAAAAGTGAAGAATCCGAACTAAAATTCCAATAGTGAGTAATTATGAAGTTGAAGTTAAGGTGTACTACAGACATTGAGTATCGCCCACGAAGTTCACTATTTAGGGATCGTTTACAATATCACGTAATCTGTAAAGAGTGAGGGGAGGGGCTTTCTAAATGATTACCGTAGTGTAATTTTAACACAGTGCGTAAAATTGATTATTAAGGGGGTTGAAAATGGGCCAAAAAGTGATTACGTAATATTTGAACGACCCCCCAACCAAGAAACGAGCATTTATCTTGCCGGACGTGATTGCTGAATTGAAAATGAGGCGTATATCTCAAGGTTGTCATATCAAACTTCAATCGAGGCGTGTTTGGCAACCAAAAATTTGAGCGGTCGGCAATAACGATCTTTCACAGACGAGTTCGACAAGTATTTAAATGTAATATTGCAGAGAAGAAGTCACATAGCATAAGAAATAGTGAGCTGACGATCTTTTGGACATTTATTGCTTCATTGGCAAAGTCTACTGGTGTTACTTTCATTGGTTTGTTTACTGCTCCTTCGTACCATTGCGATTGATCATATTCCACTGCCCCTTAGTTTTTATTTCCCCTAAGTCGCATTCAACTGCACTACAAACTGTCACAGTAATAACCACGCAGAAAGCATTAAAAGCAACCTTATACCATCTTTGAGAACCTGTTTTCGTGACAACAACATTTGATTGAAAACTGCCATGTTTAGTGTTTACAAAGTGATGGAGATATTAATTAAATTATGTTATATTAAATTATGCACGTGTAAGTGTCAGAATATGGCACTTATGAGGGAAGTTACCATAGCAACACTTAATTAGGCAAACCTGGGCTTTGCTTCACCAGTTCCTCGCTTCTTGTTCTTTTTCATTGCAGCGTTGTAACAGCGTTACAGTGTTACAGCGTTACAGCGTTACAATATTACTTTTATAATGAGAGGAGGTTACCGGGACACTTTCTTTATTTCATTGTTTCATATAACCATCATGTGCCTGTTGTGATGTTCAATGTACATAATAATCTCGATTTGGGAAGATTATCAAGTTTCATCAAATTGAACTGTAAGCAATTATACAAGCTATCTGTACGAAATAATATCAAATTCAAATATATAAACCTGAAATATAACGTGCAATCCACAGTGCAATATAAAAACAAATTCCAACAATGATTACAAACGGTAACTTAAAGTTATTCAACCAAAAATCTAATAAAAGTTCAGTATCATCATCAATATCGACGCAGTTATTGTCAGATTCAAAAATCTATTAAACTTTCAGCATTTTTATTAATATCGTCACAGTTTTTATGCTCTCATTACATAAAGTTTTACGTTATCGTAAAATGTCTTATGTCTTCTATGAGATTTCATTATAAGTTTAGTATTCTTAATAAGTTTATATCAGTTTTTAAGTTTATTTCAGTTTTTAATCCTCACGGTTCTGCACTTGACACTATGCATAACATGAAAATAGGAAAACCATTAGTTTAAAAACGGGAGGATTTTTGATTTTCCTTTGAGCATCATCGTGAGGTATTCCGTGGGCGTGGTTTAAAATCACCCAGTCATTTCTTCCATTAATATAAATGGTTCAATTATTCTTGTAGTGCTTTCTAGAAATTGGTTGCTGTCTGTTCAGTTGCATTATATTAGGTTGAGTGGTTGGAGTAGCGTATTGGAGTTTGCGTGTGATAATATAATCACATCAGCCCCTGAGGTGATAGTTAGTAGTTAGTAATTACAATAATATACATTAACCAGTTTATTAATTGATATATTTTAAGTCAAGGTTAGTTAGCTCCGTGTAACTACTCCACTAGAACACATAATTTGGTTCATAAGGAAATACACTTGATACTATAGTAAAATTAAGCTCAGAATTCAAAACTCAATAAACAATTAATATAAGTAGTAAAGAGTAGTATTAACCATCACAGGGCAGTATTCTGCATGGCAGGCGACCCCTGTTTCTCAGCCACAGCGTAGGTAAAGGTCTTAGAACGTCGTATTATCAGCGCCAGGACCACTCCCTGTAAAATGACATAAGGAGGATTAAGATTAACGTTTTACCAGATCGGTTAATGTGAGTTTATATCAAATTATATCAGATTGTATCAGATTATATCAGATTATATCAGATTATATCAGATTGTATCAGATTATATCAGATTGTATCAGATTATATCAGATTATATCAGATTATGTCAGATTATAACAGATTATAACAGATTATATCAGATTATATCAGATTATATCAGATTATATCAGATTGTATCAGATTATATCAGATTGTATCAGATTATATCAGATTGTATCAGATTATATCAGATTATATCAGATTATGTCAGATTATAACAGATTATAACAGATTATATCAGATTATATCAGATTATATCAGATTATATCAGATTGTATCAGATTATATCAGATTGTATCAGATTATATCAGATTATATCAGATTATGTCAGATTATAACAGATTATATCAGATTGTATCAGATTATATCAGATTGTATCAGATTATATCAGATTATAACAGATTATATCAGATTATATCAGATTGTATCAGATTATATCAGATTGTATCAGATTATATCAGATTGTATCAGATTATATCAGATTATATCAGATTATGTCAGATTATAACAGATTATAACAGATTATAACAGATTATATCAGATTGTATCAGATTATATCAGATTGTATCAGATTATATCAGATTATATCAGATTATGTCAGATTATAACAGATTATAACAGATTATATCAGATTATATCAGATTATATCAGATTATATCAGATTGTATCAGATTATATCAGATTATATCAGATTATATCAGATTATGTCAGATTATATCAGATTATATCAGTATATATAATCACTGCTGACTTGTCTATTTCTTTCAACGCTGATGTCAGTTTATAAATATCATTTTATACGATCAGCTAATCTCAGTTTAAAGAATGAGCTAAAACATACCTACCGATAAGCCAGCATGAGCAGCCGGTCGAATAGTATTAATTGCGTATTTAACAACTTTAATAATACGCAGATTACCGTCTAGTCACATTTTAACAACCAAGAAGCTTTCCTATTTTCGCTATTAAACTTCGCTCAAATAATATCAGTAATACATATTGGCATACTTATATCACTTCAAATATTTAAATATGACCTCAAATATTTAAATATTACTTCAAATATTTAAATATTACTTCAAATACGCGGTAAAATGGCGGTTAAATAATAAACTTACCATAGTTATGATTAGGATGAGCACAAAACACACAGAGATGATAATCGCGATAGTATTGACGGGGGTGGAAGGGTGAACTGATATCTCGTAACTATCCTCATACCGACCTGATTAATTAATTAATCAATTAATTAATTAATTAGATAATTAGTCATTCAGTTCATGTAATGAGGGTTATTTAAAATAAACAGATTCTTAATCAGGAGTAATCCTCAACATAACCCTCTCAAACTACAAAAGTTAAAATATGTAAGTTAAAATATTTCACCTTTTTCTCCGCCATCAAACACGCAGGTGTATTTTCCCGCACTTTTCTTTGTTAGTTCCTCTATAAAGAGCACCTCTGTTGTCTGATTATCTGTGGAATTTAAAGTTTACACGTGTGTTATTGCACGTGTGTTATTGCGCGTGTGTTATTGAACGTGTAATTGCGCGTGTGTTATTCAGGTACACGTGTTAATAGTCTAGTATTTATTGCGCGCTTCGACTTTTAAAAACATTTCCAAACAAGTGGAGACATATTTCAAGCCATTCAATCCATTCAAGCGAGAATATTATCAAATTCGCGTTACAAACAGTATTCCCTTTATGACATTGAATCTATTGTAATTTATTATTAAACCCTAAACTAAAGTAATCATTAAACTAACTAGCGGTAGTAGTAAAGTAGCGCTCAGCCACCCTGCCATCAGCTAACACGCCCACCCCACCAGTAGTGACTATCTTCACGTCACCATGTCTCCAGAACACATCCACTGGGGAGTCAGCAGGAATGTCGTGTAGTAAAACACACCGGATTATTAGGGTGTCTCCTTCTGTGTACCGCCTGGAAATAACTCTACTTTAGGGATTATTAGGGTGTCTCCTTCTGTGTACCGCCTGGGAATAACTCTACTTTAGGGGTTATTAGGGTGTCTCCTTATGTGTACCGCCTGGAAATAACTCTACTTTAGGGATTATTAGGGTGTCTCCTTCTGTGTACCGCCTGGAAATAACTCTACTTTAGGGATTATTAGGGTGTCTCCTTCTGTGTACCGCCTGGAAATAACTCTACTTTAGGGGTTATTAGGGTGTCTCCTTCTGTGTACCGCCTGGAAATAACTCTACTTTAGGGATTATTAGGGTGTCTCCTTCTGTGTACCGCCTGGAAATAACTCTACTTTAGGGATTATTAGGGTGTCTCCTTCTGTGTACCGCCTGGAAATAACTCTACTTTAGGGATTATTAGGGTGTCTCCTTCTGTGTACCGCCTGGAAATAACTCTACTTTAGGGATTATTAGGGTGTCTCCTTCTGTGTACCGCCTGGAAATAACTCTACTTTAGGGGGGAGCAGGGCACTTTAGTTTTATCAAATTATTCAAAATAAAAAGAATTCAGCTATCTTTAAAACCAGCTTCTTCAAAGATAAATTCATCAAAGACTAACTGTTTGTTAGTGATAACACTGACAGACACAGGAGGTTGTTCAACAATCTCCACTTTTCCATCCCTGTATATAGGTGACACGTGACTGCCAGGTGAGGTTTCACACCTCACATCAGGTGAGGTTTGTAGCTGGGAGATATAGAGGAGACTCTCCTCATCTGAAGGGAGGGGTGGTTAGAGGCTACGGAGTACAATTACTAAAAGTTGGGGGTGGCAAGATAATTTAGGGCGCTACTTTCCACAATGATGTAGATTTCAGATTGCTAACATCGAGAGTCAAGCGGGTATCTTTGTTAGTGATACGATTATCATTCACCAAATCATTCAAGAAACTCGTAAACTCACTTGAAGGGTAGGAGAGACCGACGTCCTCAAACTCCTGATCCTCTTCCTTAATCTTGTAGACAACCCCCCAGTCCTGGCCCCTAACACCGTCAATATTGTCAACTATACACGAGAATATTACAGTAGCTCCTTCTGCTGCTCGATAAACCTGAATATAATTACAAAGTGGTCGGGGAATAGACTAATAGAGATATGAAAGAAAATATTACATAAATATATCAAATAGTAATTTAAACTTCCAAATATTCCACTAAACTCCGATTTGCAGCCCTCAATACAGTTTATAGGTGAAACCCCGCGATAGGAAAAACTGATCCAAACATCATTTCACAATAAACAAAAAACAGGTTTTGCTGTAGAACCAGCAGTTACCTGAGGAGAGACAGTAATGATGGGTTGTTTGACCACCGTTATCTCCACATCAAAGCTCCACAGAGTGTGCACGTCAGTCTGCGCGATACAGCTGTACGTGCCTGCTGCTTCTAGCCCGGGTGTGTCTACCTGGGTATAACCAGATGGTAAAATATCCTCACTGAACATTGAAAATGGCTTCAAATTCAAAATAGGAAGTTTAGAATCAGGGGGATTAAAATAAGTAACCATCACTTCTCATTGTAGACGGACACGTCCATTTTCGCCATTTATAAAATGTTTGATAAAAAGAGGCATGTACAGCTGTACTCAATTCTTGAAGATTGATAAGAGAAATATGTGATACCTGAAGAGTCTCCTCCATTTCCGTGCCGCTTGTCTCTGATGTTGTATCAGACACCGTCACCCCGTTATGGTACCAAACTAAGGACAGTGGTAAATTTATTTAAGTTATCGACCCTGTGTTTTGCGGCCGCTACATTTCGCGAGGAGGGCCGATGAAAGTATCAAAATTGTACCTTGATACTTTATCAAAAGTTATAATTTGCAGCTTTGATATTTTACAAAGAACTGTCCGATCTTCGGACGTCAGAACTTCACGAAAATTAAACGATGGACCGTTGTGCAATGTTTTGCAGCCAGCATGAGCAAGAACCATCATGATTGAGATTCTGACGCATGAATTTAATGGATTGCTTAAAAATACTTCCAGCCATATTTTGGATCGCCAAAAGCACTAGCATCATAACTATATTACAGGCTATGTAGTAAGAGAGTCAGTTAACTGGTGCTGATGTGTGGAAAGCGTGATCTTGCTCTCCATTAAAGTATCAAATTCTGCAGAAAGAAAAATTATAGTACTGACCTACTTAAATTTGAGGTATGATAACTGTCTCACCAATCTGAACACTGACCTGCTGACCAAGAAGTATCTAGAAACCTGGTCACCATGGTTACAGACGCTGTGATTGGTTCACTTCGAGCCAAACAGGCCTTTGATTCAGTGATTGGTTCACTGAGAGCCAAACAAGCCAAGCACGTGACGCTAATAATCACTTCACGTGACCTGTAATCATCCAATCACATAAAAGCTCCCATTTTCGTTACAGTTCTAATAACGACTATAACTAGTGGTATGTTCAACCATTTTATGTGATTTTCAGTGGACCCGATGTAGATAATATAATTCATTATACATTATCATTCATTCTACATTATCAAAATTTAAATCCGCTTTCAAGCACTAACCACCAGTCACCAGTTACCATGGTTACTGTCATTAATTAGTGAATGATTCCCAAATACCTGCGGTACCACTGTCACGATGTCATTTAGACTAAAGTGACAGTACAATAGCAGCAGACCATTTTTGAATTATTACACGTCCATTATAATGGTAATATAACGCATTATGAAATGAAACGTTTATTAATTAATTCTTCTCAGAATTATTACAATATATTGTAGGGCTCAGAAGGGCAAAAATCAAATTGAGGGCTGACAGTTATAATGTCAAAGCGACTGCGTCACCACTTAACACAATCTGAACTACAATTGAAATTTCTTCTTAAATCCGCCTATTAATTTAGCGTCTTGTGCAGTTGCCCAATTCAGAGAACCCAGAGGATATATTAAAGTCATTATTGTAACGGTATATTAGAACCAGACAGATAATTACCTCATATTACCTTGCGGTAGGCCTAGTTAAACAAGGAGCCTCCCTACAGAGTACAGACCTACCTATATTCGAAATTACGATTTAAATTAGTTAACCCTGATTTACCGCAGCTGTTTCCTTTCCCAAACTCCCCGCGGTAAATTGGGGTTTCACTCCACTACACTGATAAACCAGTACTGACAATAGTAAACCTACCAATCTGAGGGTCTGATAGCTCAGGGTCCCGGAACACAACACAGGTCAGCTGAGGGACCCAACATTCTCATACTGAACTAGAGACGTTACATTCTTCTCATTCTTTGAGTCCACCGTGATGTTGTACCCCTGTAAATACACCTCGTTCAAATCTCTGCCTGAGTTTCAGCGAGGAAGCCCGTGTTGGTTCAACAATGATTTATATAAACAGCAGATTGGCAGACTGTTTCAAAATGTTTGGTTTAGCCTAGCCTATTTAAATGTATAATTCCCTTGAGAAATTTATACAGTTTTAGATTGACGGACTTTTCGAAGGTTTTTTGGAATAAAATGATAAATAAACAATAATCTGTTTGAGTACGATTTGTAAGCATCATACCCTTAGTTTATAGTAGGTAGGTGAAGATTCTATTGAGCCCAGTTCGTTTACAGCCTCAAACCAGTACGAGCCATTAAACCGTCTCTGAAAATATGCAGTTTAGCATTAAACCGTCTCTGAAAATATGCAGTTTATGTTTAACTAACAGATCTGAATACCGTTTTGAGAGGTGAACTTTAACTAATGAGCTTCCAGAATTGACCAAAACCAAGAATCACTGTCACCTCCCCGCCACCAGTATCCAGAATATTCTAGATTTAACGATCTGCTTGTAATAATAATAGATTACGATTATATCAGTTTATGTATGACGTAAAAGGGTAAAGAAGCGGTTAAGAGGTGACAGATCAGTTTAAGAGGTGGCAGATACTAGGAAAATCTTCTAAACTGAAATATAAAATATTCCGAACTTCTTGAAATGTGCCATTCCGAATATTTTGCCCCTAGTCGGAAATCTCTGACCTTTCTAAATTCTATCCCATAGAGAACCGGTATTTAAAGTGAATGCATTATCATCTGATGACAATAATTAAAAACTTTCTGAGAAAACTTTTAGGAAGAAAAATTGTTCTATAACATAGAAGAATTTTTCGCGAAAAATCTTCCGATTTTCTCAGAAAGTATTATCTCTATTATAATTCAGAGAATTATTTCTGTATGTCTGTCTGTATGTACGACCGCCCACGTGCAAATTAGATGAAAAATATGAACTTGCGTAGTAACCATGGTAACGAGGGTTGTTACACGCACGTGCACGTGCAAAGATTGTTAAAATGGCATTTTTTATCGTTTTTGTTGATATTACGTTGTGTTTAGTGCGAGCAACATTTTAATTGGCTGTATCTTCGGTTGTGTAGGATATTTTTTGACGCGATTTTAACTTACTAACAAAAAATACTATTAGTTTCCTTCCTGTGACCACGGGTTTTCTAGTCATTATTATAATTCAAAGAATTATTCTGTCTGTCTGTCTGTCTGTATGTACGACCGCCCACGTGCAAATCAGACGAGAAATAGGAAGTTAGGTAAAACCAAAAGGTTGCATAGCAACGGTGTTGTAATGCACACGTGCACGTGCAAAGATTGTTGGAACGGCATTTTGATCGGTTTTGTGGTAATTACGTTGTGTTTAAAGTGTATAACATTTAAATCTGCTGTATCTTCGGTTGGGATGAATATTTTTTGATGCAATTAAATCTTTCTTTCAAAGAATACTACTAGCTTCATCCCTGTTACCACGGGCTTTCTAGTATTAAATAATATAGGCTTTTCCTAATTTTAAAAAGTAATTATACTTTCCAATGCAATGTTTTTAATGTTACGCCATATTTAAAAACGTTTGACCCTAACCATAGTTATGGGCATATCAATCTTATCTCATTGTACACAGCGATACAAAGAGATACTTTCGAATTGTAATATAGATTGTTTATTAATCATTTAGCTAAGAGTTATCAAATGTTTAATCACGTGTTCAAGAAAATTCGTACCGTTCCGCCCTTAAGGTTAAGCAAAGTTTCGTCGTTTAGCAAATGATAATAATTCAGTTCGCTGGGGTCCTCCATTATCAGTTCCTGAAAATACACGTCATGTCAAACACTAGGTACAAGGGCACTAGAAGACTTATTTCGAGTTAAACTTTAAAATATTATAATATTGTGTCAGGTAATTTTTCTACTTATCGTGCAGTTGGTCCATAGTCCATACCTTTAAATTTTGTCCAAAATATATTTCCTATTCTCAATACATGGTAACAAAACTTGAGCCCCCCTCCCCCCCCCCACTCTCCCCCATCTTAATATCGTCTAACTTCACCAGTTTCCGGCAACCTCAAAGTAAAGTACTCAAATTGGGAAAGTTTTACCAGTATTTAAAAAGCTGTCAAAACGGCACCAGATTTGTGAAGAACACCCACGAAGGTAATTGATGTTCTGCCGGTTAACTACTTATTTTTACGACATACCCTCTAAAATCACTTCATGATATTGAACTTAAGTCTAATCACCTTCTATCGTAAGCAAATTTATGGAGAACAGTTACAGGCTTGAATATCTTGTGACTTCTAAACCTTGTAACCTCTTAACCTCGGAAAACTTTGGGTATGGATACCAGAGTAACTCTCCGATAGAGTTACTCTTGAGAGGAAAGGGGGAAGGTTCTAATCAACTATTAACTAATTAATTTCTAAATATTAATTAATTAAAATCATCAATGTTGATACCTTGATGTTGACAGGTTGTTGTTGAGGACAGCAGGGAGCATGCCACCAGGTTATGGAGGGGGCTGGGTAACCGCTAACATTAACCGTCAGAATTACATCTTCGTATAACTGGATATTATGGTAATTAATTACTTCATTGAATAGGTAGTTAGTAATAATAATGTGTAAAAATAAAATACTATTATATTGTGTGTAAAAACCCATTTTTTTAGTTTTTACTTAAATTTTTTGAACTGGTTTACCGAATAAAAAACCTCTGGATCGGTGGTACACTCACAGAAACAAACTCCGGGACTCGTTGAAAGGAGACAATCTCAGGTTTGTACTTGACTGTAAGGAAGAACTTGTGCTCTCTAGTTCTGTCTCCGTAGCTTATGATGAACTTGTACATTCCTGTGACATACATTATTATACATTATACATTATTATACACTCCTGAAACATGATAAAATTATACATTCTTGAGATATGATATACATTACACATTCCTGGGATATCATAAAGTTATAAATTCCTGATAAATTTATACATTCTTGAGGAATGACGAATTTTATGAGGACGAATCAACGTGCAATTGGGAGATATTTAGTAGCAGAACAACACGTTCTTTATTTTTAAAGTTTTATAATACCTTAATCTAAAGAAATATTCAGAGACACATGTGTAAATCTTTACCGAATACTTTAACACGACCACAAACCATGGTGTTGAGGTTGGGACTCGGAGATAGCGAATCTGAGACTGTTGCTGATATCCGAGATGGTAACCTGGTCACTGAGATCTTGCTCCGGGTAGGATGCCACCTGCACTGCTGCCTTGTCTGGAGCTGCAGTAAATATCTGGACAAGGCTCCTTTTAGCATAAGAGCAATAAACGGGAACACTACACATTTTGCCCCAGAAACATCATCAAAAGTTGATATTAAGAAAATCAATCCCATAATATATCATGTCCCGGGTCCCCTCACAGGCACGTAGCCAGGGGGGGGGGGGGGGGGGGCCAGCGGGGCTGCAGCCCCCCTGAAAAAAATTGAACCCCAGAAAAAAATAAGCCCCCTAGTCCCCATGGTTGTCTGGTAACTGGGCTGTGTTTATGACTGCAGTCTGTACTGTTTCAACGGCAGGCAAATGACTTCAGCATTTCGTAAATTATTCCCAAATCCCCCTATACATGTACTTATTCCATTCAATGTGGCAAGTACTGAGTTCGGTAGGGACTGGTAAGACATTTTGGCATTTGCTTAGTGCTAAATTTCCAGCGAAAAATTAAAGAGCAGTATTAAATTTCTTTAATGCCAAATGTCGTCTAAAACACCCTATTTCTCAAAATTTTCGCTCGCCGAGGGCCCCCCGGCCCCCCAAAGAAAAATCCTGGCTACGTGCCTGTCCCCTGATTACAACCAAATCCTCTACTTCCTCTCAATACACTCAAGTTATTCAATTAATCATCCATCAACTAATATCTCTTGTCCGGCCTATATCGGCATTTTGTCTGTGATTAATTGCTGAAGTCATTTAGTCAAATCATGGAATCATGGAGCTATAAAACTATAAAAGGTGACATAAATGACTGGAATCTTTAATATTTATATTCTTTGATTATTTGATTCCTTGCGTGGTATTTATTGAAAGCAGGTCTCTAGATCTGATGCCGAGAAAATAGGCTATATGCCGGGTCCTTAGCTTCGGATCACAGGTTTGAAATTTCTAAACTTTTCAGAAAAAATATATATAATAACTTACGAAAAATTATTTCGGGTAACGTGCCGGATCCTTGGGTTTGAATATCGTGTCCGAATCTTAACTAATTTCTTTCTAAAGTTAATAATAAGAAGATCAATCAGATATAATATTCTATCATTTCCCCTCATTGCAACGAAACCTTTACTCCTACCACTTCCTTTCAATATACCTAAATAATTCATTATTTGAGCTATTCAATTAATTCTCCACCAACTAATATCTCTTGTCTGGCCGATATCGCCACTTTCCGACTTCCTTAAACACTCCCCAGACTTCACTGCCTGTGACTCTCACTAAGTTCTATTATATGAATTATATTTTCAGCTTCTCTGGATTCCGGTGTTTTCAGTGTAATTCCAGAGCTTAAATCTAAACATTCAGGTGAGCTGGCGAGTTTGTGTCCACTTGAATAATGCCAATGGAATAAACCATGGACTGTCACATGTGGAATTAGGACTAATGTGACAGTATGTCACACTATTGATGAACACGATAAACCATCCCTTTATTTCTGACACCCTAAAATAAAACCTTTGATCCTCACCTCGCTTGACCCCTGTTAGTATTACCAAATAGCAGAGAAATTGATTATGTCGTCTGTGATTAATTTCTGAAGCCATTTAGTCGAATCATGGCACTACTATAATAGAGGACAGGTATAGAAACGTGAATGTGGTCATAAATGGTTGGGATCTTTAGAACTTTAATATTCGAGTTCTTTGGTTGGGATCTTTAGAACTTTAATATTCGAGTTCTTTGGTTGGGATCTTTAGAACTTTAATATTCGAGTTCTTTGGTTTGGATCTTTAGAACTTAAATAATATTCGAGTTCTTTGGTTGGGATCTTTAGAACTTTAATTTTCGAGTTCTTTGGTTGGGATCTTTAGAACTTTAATATTCGAGTTCTTTGGTTGGGATCTTTAGAACTTTAATATTCGAGTTCTTTGGTTGGGATCTTTAGAACTTTAATATTCGAGTTCTTTGGTTGGGATCTTTAGAACTTTAATATTCGAGTTCTTTGGTTGGGATCTTTAGAACTTTAATATTATTCGAGTTCTTTGATTCCTTGCATTTTAAACAGACACAGTTTTGTGCGCTCCTTTAGAATATTTAGCATTTTACCAATGAAAACCGTGCATTTGTTACAATTTATAAATTTAAGATACTCAAAGGACAGTCAACGTCAGCATCTAACTTGGAGTTTTAAACCGTAAAAGGCCCTCGCTATTTAGTTCTTTGACGCCTCGCATTATATATCATGATCTTCAGAATCATTTATTTCGTTTAAAATTTATTTCGTTTTTAAAGTTTTAAAATTTCATTGCCAATTCAAAACCGAGCTATGAAACCTGCATTTCAGCTAAATAACAGCTGACTTAAGTGTTATAGACTTTAGTGTTATATTAGACTGAACAGTACTCTGATCCAACTAATTTCTCATTATTCGGGCACATCGCTGTTTAAAATCGGAGGTCGCCAGAAATCAGAATTACGGGAAATTTCCAATTTCCATTCTGGTGAATATTACTTCCAACTAAACTTATACGTCTTTAATACCCACTTTAATAACGACATTAGTAAGGTGGTGTCCAATATAATTAGTAACGAAAACGCCGGATTACTCCATTAATTTGCGTGGAGTCTAGAAAATCACCAGACGCGGGATTTAGTAGCGATTCCAATATTATATCGAATAGCTGAATTGTTAAATTATTAAAACGACCTCAATCCTTTCCTCGACACTAAAACAATGGTTTAACCAGTAAGTCTGTCGGAGCACTAGTTGCAAACCTTTAAATCCCTTACTTGTACAATGTACTCGAGTACGGGGCGTGGTAACATTCTTATTTAACGGTACAGCACACATATTTCAAGTGTTAATCACCCCGGTAACATGTTAGAAATTCGAAGATCTACCAAAAAAAGGTTCCTATTTTTTTGGCCAAATATAACTCGGATGTTGGGTTACGTTGGGTTCGATTTCACTAAGGAATGTTGATTGTTGAAGATGATTAACCTCATTCCGGGATTTCGTTTCAGGTATTTGATTTTCGTTTATGAGTGACGCAATTAAGTTACCACAACGTACCACTTCACCTCAACGTTCTCAACCAAACTACCACTTACTCACTATATTATTATATATATATCTATATATCTATAATATGTATGAACTTGCAGTTTGAAATGCTCTTACAATAAACCAGTTAGATGATCATGTCAACACAAAACCCTTATAACCATCTTGTGAACCAGGGACTAAAGGGTTTTATATAATTATCCAATTAAAGGGTTTTATATTATAACTATCGACTTCAAACCTCTTAAAATCGAGTAACCAAGCTCATTTAATTCCGGGAGATCATTCCACTACAGACTAGAAAACAAAACTCCGCAAGCAACCCAGTGTCCACGTCAATGACATTGTATTTATAATATAAAAATGGTTTATTTCGCGCAAATAAATATTATTGATGGGTTGCTAGAGTCTTCAAACAATGGGACTGCTACAGAGAATGATCGTTTAACTGCTACTAGTGACAGCTTCTGATACTATTGTAACTACTTTCTCTTCTGAGAATATGATCTCAACATCGAGGTCATCTTCTGAGAAATGATTACGAAGCCTCTATGTTGAAATACAAATCCGTTGGTGAAACTGAAAATTAGGCACGCACATCTAGGAGGCGACTAGAAAGGACACGTTATCAAAAATAAACCCCTAGATAGATAATATCATTATCTAGATACATATCAACATCTCCCCACAGAGTATGTAACCGAACTCTTACCATCTGAAAGTTGAGGAGATTAACAGGAAACACATTTAGCGGGAGACTCAGCTCGAAACTCTCCCCTCTGTTGGTGGTGACGTCTTTAGTCTCTGGGTAGACTGTGTCTGATGACTCTGGGAGAGGTTATCTCGGTAACAATTCTAAATAAGTCGACAATTGCGAGACAAACGTGAAACCCGTTTGATCCTAAGAACTTATAACTGTTTATAAGTTATATCATATATGCAAACTAAACGGGTTTCATTAAAATGCGAACTTTTAACCTCGGCCGGTTAGATCGTTTATCTTACTAAATATAAAGCGAGCCGATAAATATATTTCTATTTATTTTAATGACACCACCATCTCGACTTAACTTTGCCATAGCGCTGGACCATATTCCTGAATTTTATCACATTTATTTTGTGTTTACCATAACATTATATTGTGCTGTTTGCCTTTAGAATTGTATTCGGCCACTAAGAAACTTACCTTCTCGTCGTGGGAGGTATGCGAGGCACTCAGCATTTTGACAGGCCGTATATTAAGAATGTGAACTAAAATAAGATTTAACATAGAAAATCAAGACTTACCGTCAATAAAGACTCTGACTGCCGTCTGAGCTTCAGAGTTGGTGACACAAGTGTAGAGACCAGCGTTACTGGTATCTTTACCGTCCACTTCGTACTCCACTAGTCTGTATCCCTCTGTTGAACTGCTTAGTTCCTCCTCTGGGAGATGTGGTTATTGTTGGGTAACTTTGAGGACCTCACACGTGTGATTTAATGAAATCAGCGTGATTTATGGTTCAGTAAAACTAGATTTTGTGAGCTTTACCAATCAAAAGCGATTTAACTGAGAGTCAGTCTAGCTCAAAGGAATAAAATTTGAGTTATAGGAAGAAAGGCAGACAAATAAACCATTCTTGAGCCATTTGAGGGTTTTATCTTTGAAGGAGCTAGACGTACACTCTAAAACACCTTTCTGGTTCACAGGTATGACCAGGTACACCTGAAAAAGCACAATATTAGTTGAAACATCGATACAGCTCAAACCAGTACGTGACATCTGTACTGCCGTTTTCTCAGAAAAGAAAGTAAGTCCATATTTACCATTTCGAGATATTGGGACTTTTGCGTTTTTGGTTTTTCCCCCGCTTTTTTTTGCGTAAAATCGAAAGTGAACACGTTGAGTTATCAATAATTAGTAACATTCTAATTTGTCAGAAAAATTAAAGCGTTCGGCCTTCTATAAGCTTAGAAATAACCATTTTTTTCCTACTCTTGCCGAAGGCAAAAAGATCGTAGGGAATAAGTAATCGGGTTTGGATATATGAGGTGGCCCGACGGCCCTACGGTGATGACAAAAGTCTGCTCCTTCGCAATATATACCACTCCCCTATAATTATGTGTTTAGGAAGCGTCTGTTATGCTGCGCGCCACGCTAGCCATGTGTTAAATAATTACAGTGAAGTTCCTCCTTCGCAAAGTTATTTTCCGCAATTTTCTGGATTCATTTTAATTGTTGATGCGCGGTGCTACATTGGTCAAATAAATCGTAAATTTTTACCATGCGCGAATCCCACTCATTTATTAAAAACTTATGTAAGTATGTTGCACTTTTTTCCAGTCAAACTTTTCACTCGAAAGAATTAATGGTACAACTAGTACTACAAGTACATCGTAGGGAAAATTGATCGTGCGTGGTTTAACCGCGGCGAAATTCTTGTTATGCCAAATAATTGAGCTCATTTTTCATACTGGATGGACTTTCACTTACTTCTTTTTCTGAGAAAAATGGGACTTACTTGAACCTTTTCTGAGAAAATTTTTTCTGAGAAGGAAGTAAGTCTGGGATCTGTGCATTTTTTATTCTATTGTCAAATATAAACAATTAAGTAAATCTGAATTGATCCATATCATTTAATATATGATTTTAAATAATAGTATGCCCCAAAACTCACCAATTTTGAAAGATTTCAGTGCATAAAAGCATAAAGTGATAACTTATCGATATTCTGATGAAAATAAACTTGATTTAAAAGATATACCGAAACTAAACATTCTCTGCGATTAACTGCTCAATAACTGCTCATATGTTTATGTTTTGTCATTTGTGACTAAAATACATGCGGGGTTCTTTGTAAATCGACCACCAAATTTTTATTGAGGCCTTAAGGAAAATTTTGATCACTTTAGTAAGGTTAAGATGTAATTATACATCGATCCTAAAAATTGTTCTTTTTGGGAAATCGCTTTCTAAAAATCCGTTTTTAGCATGCTTTGATAGGAAGTAAGTCCAGCTACTTCTTCCTATCACAGATAATTTATCTCAGAAAAGGAAGTAAGTCCGGACTTACGTCCTTCTCTCAGAAATTATTTGGGCAAAACCACGAACATAATGTTTCTCAACTGGTACTTACTTCCTCGAGAATTGCATGCAACAACGTTTCCATACAATAATATGTTGCTCATGTTGTAGAAAATTTTCTACTGAAAATTTTGATACCAATATTACTATAATTCGAAAAATTGGACTTACTTCCTTTTCTGAGAAAACGGCAGTGTAAACCAGTACGTGACCTAGTACGTGACGTTTGTAAACCAGTACGTGACCATGACCTAGTACGTGACGTTTGTTCTTGGCCAGATAAAAAGGTTGATTGTCCTCATTACTTTGCACTCCGACTATTATTCGGTAGTTTTGTAGTTGCAACACTGCGCAGATAGAGAAGCCCAATCTATACGATTAGAATATAAGCTTCACTCCACAGAAAGAATACCTCTTGCTTCTTGTTTAATCACCGGAGATATAACCAACCATACGTGAAGTAATAAACATTATTACTTTTGGGTACATCAGGCTCCCATCCTCATCACGCATAGGTATCACTTCAACTTCTTTCGTGTGATTTACCATGGAAATTTGTTTTTGTTTCCTCAATTTTCTTAGTTCATCATGATGATGAAATAACATTCGATGAAAGAACGTTCATATTATATAACTGATATTGTGATATATTGACAATGTTTCAGAGTCTTTATTTTCAGTTTCTTAATTTATAAAAATAAGGCAGTTTCACTTTTATTTTAAGTATTTCTTCATTCGATTTAGCTGACTTGTTTTTGTTGTTGCAGGATCTAGACATCTACAGATCACAGTTTAAATTGAAGACGTTTCGATGATTAAATCATGCTAGATTTTATTTGCACTCATTCCTAGATGCCGACATTGAGAACTCTGTGTACTGAAAGTATTTTGCAAAATTATTGGTGGTCTACAACCGACTGTGTGTCCAAATTTACCCCACCCTCTTTTTGGGAGGGATAATTATGGACACCTGGAAAATGATTAACTAGTAAGTGGTTTTTCATTAATCCAGCTTGGTCAGAGATCATACATGTACAAAATATTCTCAATTTCATGACTTAGTACCTTAAAACAACTGAAACGATTCAGATTAAATCCACCACTCGATTATAAGAAAAGAACCCCGCCCATTACTACTCTTTCATTTCCATTAGAGCATTGGCTTAAACAGCGACCACTGCACCGTAATCACGGTTATTTAACGGCTTTGCATTACTTATACTACTATTGTCTATTATCAATATCAAATAATATAATTTGTTAACGGTTGTTAAGCTTTAAAAGATTACTCGTTTCATAGGTCAATGCGATTGAGCCATTTTGATCGAATTTACTGGCTGTCGCACGTACCTGCCAGATTTTAATGAATAAATACCACAAATAGGAGTTTCTTGATTCCGTCATGGTGCCATTGAATATTGATACACATGGTTATTAAGATTACTTCCCCCGTATTTACCTTGCCCTATGTTTGATTACAAGTTCTGTCAAATTTAACATCCTCGATTATCTTTATTGCTATATCGTTACTTAATTATTCAAGAATTGATATTTAATTAATATCAAATAAATTTGTGGGTCAGTAACCAATGTAACATGGGTAAATGTAATTGAGCCGTAAATCTGCATTTGATTTGATTTATTGGTTGACTGTATAACTGTCACAGAAATCCACGTAATGCCAGATTTTAATGAAGAAATACCCAAAATAGGAGTTTAATGATTCCATCATGGTACACATGGCCTAAATCCCATAGTCAAATCGTTCACTGCTACTTTGTGTCGTAGTTTCTGTTTAGTTCCGCATATTCTAGAGAAGGCTACCTACCACTAGTACTAGACGCGGCGCAAGGTACACATAAAGTTAGAGTGAAGACTGGAGGGTGGAAGGCTGTTGTCATGCAGCCACATACCTAGAGAGACAGTTGATGCTATATTACTGAGGTGAGAGGTGTATCTGCCTTCTTGGTGCAGCCAGTAGCTTAGTAACAGTGCGATTCTAAAACGGTGACCATCAGCCATCATACCACTATTATACACACCCCTGGCCACCACGACTCTTCACGTAATGTCCCGAAGTAACATAATTAGAAAAGCAGCATGCTATTTTATTAAAAAGTTAAAATGGTTTCTGAGGGGTCCTTCTAAACGCAGAGACAGTTACACTAGAGTAATTTAGCGAGCCTGTTATAAACTATGATTGAAATTAAAAGTGGTGAACATTGAACAATGGTGGGAAGGATAACTAAGAGTATTATGATGCCAGCTATTCGGGAGAGGTTTGATATTTAGGTATAAATCTTGTTCTTGACCCCATTTCTATATTACTATATATATATCAAATTCTTAATACAATTTATCTAAAGTCTTTAATTCAGACTTCAAAGCATTTAAGTCCTGTAAATTTCCTTCCAGCATCATCAAGCCTGAGCGAGAGCGTAAAGCGCGGGTATTTCACCCGTAACTAAATTTAGAAGCTCCTCGGAATTACAGGATAGGATGAATGCAAGTCACGTGATATATTATGATTAGTCACGTGATATAACAGAACACGTGACCTGGTGTTACAGGCCAGGTGCCAATGAATGTGTGATTGCTGACTTGCTTTATTCGTTCCCTAATCTTGTCCTGTTTTAGTGTACTCACATCCTCACCACTAGTAATCTCCACCCTAGCTATGTTCCCATCAGCTACAATATCAGGGTCAGTAGTAGGGGGAGGTGAGGCTGTGGGGGTCTGAGTGTTCTGGGGTATGGAGACTGTGGAGTTAGAGGAGGAGGAGGAGAGGGTGAGGAGAAGAAGGAGCAGTGTTGTTGTTAACCTCATGTTTACCTCATGAGGTAGAGTGTGTCATCAGAGCTCTTGTAGAAGGGGGATTGTTAGTGGAGCAGAGTAACCTGTTGTAAATTATAACAATTTGAAAAAACAATTTACAATCCTGGGCGGTAGGGGGCGGTAAAATGGCAAGTTTCCTTAATATAAGGATAACTATTTATATGAATATACATTATACTTATAAGGTGGAAACTCCAATTGAGAATACGATAATGCCGAGTTCGATTTAACCATATTGTAGGGTGCCATTTCTAAGCGTGAATAATCGTATTAACATTTTCACAATTCTCCATTTGCAACTCATTACACAATTCACACCAAACTATGCTTGTGTACCAAAGGGAATAATATCTTCACCCCAATATGGTGAAATAGTTTATTTGTTTCTGATTAAGTGGTTGCAGGAATTAAAAGGCCACCAAAATCGCGAATTTTTCACACAGAGCGTCATTAACGCAGACGGAAAGGCGTAATTAAATCCAGCTAAATAATCCCAGCAAAGAATCAGTCACTTGGTTAGTGACGCACTAAGGTAATCTCGTTACGTTGTTCTAGTTCCAAATAGAACACTTTTCAAGACAACAGTTATCGCTGTTGTGAAACACTCAGTTTAGAAAGTCGTTACGATAAGGCGACTTTTAATAATTGACAAGTGTTTTGAACCACAAGTTAGGCTGAATAAAAGAGTCGAGAGTGTGAGAGGATAGGCTAAAAACTATCTGTGATCCAAGATCAAATAAATATGGAAAAAAAAACTAAAATCAACTGGTCACAAAATTCAAAAAGATGCAAAAAATACGAGGCAAAATAACTTCATAGATAAGAAATACAAAGGCGGTAAACAAGTCAACAAGTCAACAAGTCAACAAGCTGATAATGATCTTGACACAAACAACTACAAACAATAGTTTACTATCAGCGATGATTCTCATGCTAAATACATCTGACTAAAATAATTGCACGAAACAACCGGAGGTTTGACCAATTATCACTCAGCTGCTACGGCTGGGATTGGGTGAGTTAAAATTAGAACAATCAGGGTAGGATGATGTACAGAACAAGACTTGGCTGGAAATCAGCCTACTCTGGTGCTCTAATTAAGAATTAGCTCACTTTTAATGGTGACTTGGGGATATCGAAAACACATTTAGTTAACCTAGAAATATCTCTATTCTCCTATTTTCGTCCGATTAGACTAGTATAGCTGTCGCCTGTCATCTGATCATCTGATGGGAGTTAGATGAAGTGGTGGTGATGATCAAATGATTCTCACAATTATTATTAACGCTCTGGTTTGCGAGATGATTTTGAGCCTAAAATTGGCAAGAATAAAGTAATTTACAAAGCAAGTTAAACCTATTATTTAAAATTATTTCGATCAAAATTTCGACCAATTTAAACCAATTATAAATAAATTAAACACACGAAAAGGGTGCAACTGATTGCAATTAAACAGATGTTGAACACTACGGAGCACGGACTGAGAATCACTTTTCAATCTCTACAATTTAGCAGTTAACCTAGTTAAGTATAGGCCTATTTGCGTTAATAATATTCTATCGAGATCGGTCAATACTAATAGTACAACACTACTGACAAGTGACAAATGAGTTAACGTAGCATAATCATTACACAAAATACATCTCCCTTTACGTCCACAACTGACAATTTAGCAGATCATGGAAACCTACTTGAATACAATAGAAATGAGGTAAAAGTCTTTTCTAAGTTCTTCTTAAATCGAGATCCAGCGATGAGGGTTGGTAATGTACCGAGTATTATAAAAAGGAACAACATGTACTGTTAATGACAGTGATGAAAACAAAATAAGGTTAAATAGTGGTAGCAGTACAATTACTACCATCAATAATAATACTGAATATATGCAGCCACATTATCACCTGGTCGACCTTCTTAGAACAATCTAGAACGAATCATGATTCAAGATTTTGAGTTTTTTGAGGAACAGGATTTTTTCGATTTGATTATTTTTAAGCTCGATGAATAATTTGCACTCCCTAACTGATGTCACTGGCTCTTCAAAATACCAAACCCTACCCTCACAAATTGTCATTCTCCAAAAGAAAGTGACATCTGTCCAAACGTCTGACAGAAATCGTCGGCAGCAGAGGGCACAGTTGTGCAACAGTGCAATAAATGCACATTGCACAACCTGAAACTCGAATCTTCCTACTTGAATCCAGTGGAAATTTTAGAAAATAAAAAAGCCTCAATACAACCAACATGGTCGAATTGCCTTGTGAAAGGTCGAATTGCTTTGAGAAAGGTCGAATCGTAATTTTTTCCCCGAGAAACTCAAACGAATAGTACAACTAGAAACACATCGATTAGACCATTTTTATTTCCGCTGTTTTAAGTACAAGATAATGACTGTAAATAAGGCTGAGAACCGATTAGATCTCCTGGTCTTTACTAATATGCAAACTTAACCTGCGCTAGATAACAACATAAGTACAACACAGTGTTATAAGTATAATTATCACATAGTTATTACATAGAATTTTAACAAACATACGCATTTTATACATACTCGAACAATTTTTCCCACAGTCAACTGGCGAAACAAACCAAAGGACAAAAGAATTAAAGGATCGAAGAACCCCAAAGACCAGATGACCAAAAGACTAAAGAATCAAATGAGGAAATACTGAAGCATTAAGTAAAGAGCCAAATATGCGAATATGCACATACCAAACTACCAGTCAACACAACCCCAAGTACTACAGCTCCCGCCACAACAACAACCCTCCCTCAAGGCACACACGACGTAATACTCCCCTGAGCAGTGCTAACAAGCTAGTGATAACACGTTGTGTGTGTGACAAAGTGCACACTGTCACACACTGTCACACTGTCACACAGCACCCGACACTCGACATCTACTGGAGCCCACACATAATACAAATTACCCCTTAATGAGAGAAGCTCGAGCGTATGTCTGCGGTAAAATAAGCACTAAAATTAGCGCGAGTTATAGTAAGCTGTGTGGTGCTGGGGATGAACAGGTACGGAGCCTGGCTGTTTTATTAATTAGCACAATTATTGTGGAGAGATGAACATTAAGACGGCTCTGGGAAGGTTATACCTGGATGCTTGGAGTGAAGAGTTAGTTGACTGGTGACTGTAAGTCGTATTTTGCCTTAGTACTTGGAAATACAGGAACAATTACATATTATTATTAACATGGAGGAGACTGAAGGATATCGTAAATAATTTCAGCAGGAAAATTAGCTTGATTTTGAAATTATGGCTGCTGATTAGATTTATTCATTATCCTTGATAAGTCTGTGGCAGTTGCCGGGCAGGCTCGTGCATCAGTTACGGAAATGTCCATAAATTTTAGAGCAAATAACAAAGTATAAAATGTCAAAATGGTAGGAAAAAGGCGTAGACAACTTTTACCGAGCTCTTGATGAATTAGCGATAATAATTGCGTCTATTTATAATTCCTATTGCTAAAAACTCGCCAAGGCAGCTTCTTAGCTTCTATAATTATAGAATAAAAAGGTCCAAGTACAGTTAATAATAACGTTATTTAATTAAGGATTTACTATGTATTTCCAACGCCTTCCAAAAGGTAACAAGACTGAGTCTGCCAGATTTGATGTATAAACACAGTTCAACATCGAGATATTGACCAGTCCCAATATCAGACCGAATTAGTATTTTACTAAAAACAAATGGTGCAGAAGGGTAGAAAAGTTATAAAACTTAAAGTCGTGGACATCAAGAATTATAAGTCTCCTCCTCCTCTGATCCCATGAAGACCATTTCTTCTTCAAGATTTCCTATCATTACCGAGCATTCCAGCCAATTTTAAACGGATTCCGTCTTTATATTAGTTGCCACCTTAGACACATATCCTCTTTCACTTTCCATTCCATGTTGATAGGTACTATGCCGACCGGCAGCCGGCTATTAATCGGCTAATAGACCTCTAACATTTTAATTGCATTTCTAACAGCCATTTAACAGCGCTTTCCACCCACCTCGGTCAGTTTTTAAAAAGGAAAATCCTAACAGCTCTCTATACTACTAACAGCTACTAACAGCTACTAACAGCTACTAACAGCTGACGCTAATACTTATGTTTTGTTATGGCTATTAGCTGACTGTTAGAGGGCTGTTACCGTAACAGCCAGCCGGCATTGTCCTATTTGGCGCCCAATACACTCTGTATTACTGAGAAGGGGGAACATTGTACTTCAGGATAGGCGCCTATCAAGGTTTATCAGGTGTTTTTGACACAAAGTTTCATAACAACTGCCCGGTGAGCATGCCTACAAAATACAACAGCAATATTATCAAGACTCCTTCAAGGACCACCAATTGCTGGTGCTCAGAAAGAAAGGATGCAACTCTTTAAAATAGCTTCCGTGGAATCAATGTCTTCGCAATCTCGCATATCCACCAAAATTTTTCCCTGACCGACATCATCAGCGACCAGCGTCACTCTATGACGTCATCAGCGTCACTCTATGACGTCATCAAAGTATCACATGTCATCAACGTGAGCTGAGAAGATGCTTGGGAGATATTCGACAGTGTGTTCGTTTGTGGTGTGCTGATTTCGTGGTGCACTTAACTCAGTATTCTTTGATTGTGTTTAACTGGCATTATTTTGTTTCAAATAAGGAGACAGTTATAATCTTCTGATTACGCTGCACAAAAGCCAAATTTTGAATGGCTATCAAAAAAGTAGAGCTGTTTTTGGACGAAAGCATATTTTTTCTGTGGAAGTGGAACACGTGAATTTTTCTGCAGGGCGGCATATTATGCCCAGTTCAGTGGATATATTTCTAGTGAGACCGGTAAAGTTGATGGTTATTAATATTATTTCAATTTAGCCTAATGTCACAACCAGTCCGCTCTCTCATGATTAATTTTATAAAATTTGACATCAGTCCCTGCTTGATAACTAGCTTCTTCAGAAGTTGCAAATGCAGCCGAACCGTTAACAATCCCAAGAT